AAATGCTTCTTCATTTTTATCGGACTTGTCAGAATCGGTAGTTCGGTAGTTCTACAATCCTATAATAGCAGATTTTCCGTGATAATCCGTGTCTTTAAAATGTTTTTTGCACAGACTTGAATCAACTGTTGATACAAAGGTTATAATTTTTGTAGCTCTTTCTCACTTTCTTTTTTTCAATGCTGGAGCTTTTGGAAAAAGATGATTACCACGATTAAAACAGCCTGGTACTTAACACAGTGGCATATTAGAAAAAACCTAATAATTCTGATTGAGAATCACCATTATGTATGAAATTGACAGTTGTCAGTCAAACCATCGACGATGCGCCATCTGACGGGATAAATACGCAGTGTGGATCCCCATTTGCGTATTCGATGTATCGAATGAAAAACATCGATATGTATTCGATGTTGAAGTATTAACAATACATCGGTTCAATACGATGCATCGATACAATACATCGAGTGTTTTTAAAACATCGATGTATATCGTCCACCCCTACTTTCAATCCTTTTTAAACCATAAACACCAATGTTACCAGACTTAAAAAATAACATTAAAAAAAGCTGCCACGTAAAAAAATAATAAAAAATCCTATCAAAATGTTTTGGCTCGTAGCAAATTTGGTTTGTGTTTTCGGTGAGACATATTCAATGTATGTTTCAGTCTTCGTCTTCAACGATATATGAGCAAATAATAATATTCTTAATAAACAACTAAGTACTTGTTAGATTCAAATGTCAATTTAAGATACAATTATATATCCCTCGCAGTAGCAGCAAAAAGGTTTGAAAAAAAAGGCAAATTTAAAGAATTGTGTGCAATATAAATAATTTTCTATTGACTGGTATACATGTTATAACGTACCACCGGTAGTTTTCGCCGTAAAAATGTCTAATCACTACTAAGAATTATGCAAGTATAATCACACTTTAAAAAAGTAAAAAAGTATTTATTTTGACTAGTTGGAAACTGTATTAATCTTTACTGAGACTGAAAATTTTGAAATTAGAATTAATTTAAAGAAAACAAAAAAAGAATACTACCCATTCTTTTTTCAACATGAGGCTTCGAGACCGGCGAATGATAATGTATGAAACTTTAGAGTTTAAACTATACATACGTTTAAATAACCGACACATGTAATAGAAATATTAATTAATTTCAATTTGCCTTTTGGTTAGAGATAATTTCCCACCACATTGTAAAGAGAGCCTTAGTAAAGAGGAAAACATTAGAAAAGAGCCATAAAAAAAAAAATTAACAAGGTGCATTAGCAAAAAGGTTGAAATGCTAAAAGCTGCCATTTTGAATTTTAAATGCAAAGGAATGTTACTGTTTTAAATAAAAGGCTTTGTTTTTAAAAGCACATTTGTTGCATGCAAGTAATATTGGTGAGCTGGAAGTTGGTATAAAAGAGCATAATTGTTTTTAGTTACTTATGGTGTAAAAAATTGCATATAATTGATGGTAAAATAGAATAGAAAAAAAAACAAACGAAAAAAACAAAAAGCGGATAAAAATGACGAAGGGAAGTATCAATTGACATGTTTGTACAATAAATTGGAAGGAATTGACGATTGGAAGACAGGAAAAGGAATAATATTTTAAAAGAGTACACGTTATAAGTTATCATAAGTAGAATAAGCGAACCTAGCGACTGGTAATTAGGTAGTAATCGATATTTAACAATGTGATTGTAATCATGATAACAGACAACTTTCCCAAAGAATTTTTCTTCCTTATTACAAAACAAGATTTATCTTTAGTCTACATTTAAACCATTGAGCCAGTTTTTGTATTTTGAATCTTATTCTCACCTGCTTTCATTTTAAAAAGAAAAACATTGTAATAAGGCTGATTAGATTTATTTTGATCAGCTGTTAGAGGCGTGGCCGCGCCCCGCGCCCGCGTTTGAATTTTGCACGCTCGCCATTATATTGTTAAAGTAATAAAAATCAAATAAAAATAGAAGCTTCTTTGGGAAAGTTATTCGTTATCACGTGTTATTATATCGGTCACTAATTACCAGTCACCTTATATAATATGTAGCTTGCGCAGACATTTGGTATACAGCAACAAAAATAAAGATTAATTTATTACAGAGACAGAAAACATTATTTGTCTTCTAAACCGACCAACGAAGAAATTCATAAAGTCACTACATAGTATAAATCAAAGTAGCTTTCTCTGTCTGTATCCCTAAGTACACTTAAATCTTTAAAACTACGCAACGGATTTTGATGCAATTTTTTAACAGATAGGATGATTGAAGAGGAAGGTTTATATGTATAATAACATCTAGTGAACAGTGGACAAATTTAGCATTAGCATTGCATCCGTGTGAAGCCGGGGCGGGTCGCTAGTACCATAATATATAATAGAGTGTCACAATAGCTTCTGTCTGTATTGGTCAATCTTAATTTTTTAAGTTGTATACCAAACAACTTTGCAGACTGTACAAGCAACATTTTTATTAGATGGATTGCCAAAATATGTCATATAAATAAATAAGGGTATTTTTGCACTCATGAAAAAGTCAGGATTGCCAAAGTTACAAAAATTTGAAAAATTTATTCAGCAGATGGTGGACTGATAGTCTTGTCGTGCACAAAACATTAAATTTCTTGACTTGGTAAAAAAAGAAAAAGAAAAGAAGAATTTATACAACAAAAGCTGACAATATTTTTTGTAGTTTTTTTTATTATTATTGTTCCTGACATTTTCACGAGTACAAAATTACATTTGTAAAGAGTGTGTACAATAACAAGCCTATCCAGTCAAGCAACATTTAAAAATTGAACTTACCAACAATCTGTTTAAAAATCGAACACAATTTGAAATAACCAATAAAGAACAATACACCAAAAAGTACCAGTACATGCTAAATACTTTTAGAAAATGTCAATTTAAAATTTCATACATCTTGGACTAGACATAATATTAAGTAAAATTATAGTTCCCTTTATAATCTTTTGACTTAAAATTGTATGTAGTAACTTGGACTTAAGTACTGAAACATTGTATCTATATATGTAAAAACAAGTCGTATTAGTAAAACTATTTAAAACTTAAGAACGGCTGAACCGATTTCGTTGAGAATTGGTGGGAATGCTAGAACCAGAATAAGAAAAAATATAGGGTAGAGTAGATAGAGTAGGGTAGTGTAGGAAGTCAAATGACATAATGATGAAAGATTTGTTTGTTGGGACAAAAAAACTCCGAAACTGCTTAACATATTTTAAAAAATATTTCAAAGTTGTGAAGCTGTCCCTGATGAACATAGGCAATAAACGACTCAGTTGAACGCGTGGGGCACCGCTAGTTTGGGATAAGTCTGCGACCAGGCACAGAGCGACAAAAAGCATTATCTTTTAAATAAAATAATACCAACGTGAATGCAAAGGAAGTATGACGTCAATCCTACCAATTAGACGTCTGCAAACAATTATACTTTGAGTTCACAGAAACCTGTCTATGTAATGAAAACAGGTTGAAAAACTGGTTCTCCGTACTAGAACATTCTTGTGACAATTATTATTATTTAAAACAATACTAGAACATGACTCAATCCAAACCTAGACATATTTAAATAACAAACAATGTTCCAGAACTGTACAATAAAATTAGTTACTCCCTAAAAGGCGTTGTCTGATAAACCGATATAAACTTTATAACTTATCAAATAAAGTTGATTTTAGCTTGTAAACAAGAAAACTAGTAATACTTTCAATCACGTTTGCGTTTGATATTTTAACTACACTATTTGCTTAAGAAATAAGGTTGATTTTTGTTTATTTTATACATAAGGGGACTAGCTAGTCAATTAAACACAACTTTAATCTTTTTACCTTTAAAATAAAATTCACTTTCGCGTGAAAGGTACCAAGTTACTAAATACAATATTTAGGTCGTCGTATTAACAGTAATTGTCATTTCTTTGCAAAATAAAATTCATTCCCCCTTATTACAAAACAAGGTTTATCTTTAGTCCAGGTTTAAACCATTGAGTCGGGTTTTGAATTTTTAATCTTATTGTCATCTACCTTCAATTCGAAATACGAAAACTGACTCAATGGTTTAGTCCTAGACTAAAGTAAAACCTTGTTTTGTAATAAGGCCGATTGAGTTTATGTTTTTATGGTTTCACCAACGGTACATTTCATATAATATTTTCACTTTTAAAATAATAAATAAATAATTCATTTTTAAGGGCTGATTTTTCAATAGTCAGATAAATGTTATCTATAGAATAAAATTGTTGCTGTCCCTGTCTTATACAAACATTATGACGCGACAGCATCATAATTATTCCCTAGGTAACTTTTATCTAACCATTGAAAGGTCAACCCTAAGTGTAACAATCTCCTAATATAAGAAAAAAAAATGACGGTCTTATTTCAAACTTTTTTATAGGTAAGATTGGCAAAGGACTGAAATCAAAGACTTAGAGGTCAACAGTTAACTTGTTAACTATGCGAACAAGTCTCTTAGTAACGGTAATTTCTATAAAAACAAAGCTAAGTATGTACAAAGCAAATATTGAACTAACAAAATTAAATATTGAGTTAATATTTAAGGTATGAGTGTTTTATCTTGTCAATCAATATTGAGGTTTTAATTAAATAGAATATTCAAAACGACATATCAACCAATTTTTTTTCACTAGTAAGTTTGCCTTCTTGGCTAAGCTTAACGATTTTGAACTTTAAAGTTTGTATAGGGCGAGTAAATGTTCTTGGTTTACATTTCATATGTTTAGTGATGTTACACTTAGAGCTGATAATCGCTTGAAATGAGACCGAAATGGTACATTACCTAATATCGTTAAGAAAAATTGTTATATTATTTGTAATTGTAACCGTTTTTAAAAACCCTAAAAACATCGTCTTTTAAATTGAATTATGGAAATTAATAAGAATTAATTTTTCCAGTCATATGACATTTTCTATATACAAAACGCTCCAATTTAAAAAAAAAATATTCACATTTTCACACAATAAAAGCAAAAAACGACTTAGGCTTGCAATACCATCACAATGGTGTTACCATACTTAAATAAATATTTAAAATTGAACCGTTTTTTGACATATTTAAAAGGGAACACAACTATGGTTCTAGCCATAGAATTATGATCTTAAACAAAAAGCTTATAAAGAACAGAATGGTGTGGAGTATAATAGGATTATATCTATATAGGATAAGTTTATAGTATATAGTTATAGTACATATAGTATGATAGTGATGTGGTTATGTGCGCGGGTAGTAATGGCCAGTGCGCGCTGGCAGCGGCGGGGGCGTGTCCTGGAATACAAAATTTATGAATTATTCGAGAAAAGCTCGACAAGTTTCAAGTCACGCCGGGATTTATAATCACAAGAGATTGTTAGGCAATGTTATTTTATTTGTCCAATATTTCACGACAGGGGTGATGACACACACAAAACGTAATTGTATTCAATCAAATCCATTTTTTAAAATTTGTAGATTATTGTAGTGTTAAGTGTAAAATTTGACCCAAAAAAATTGATTTGTTGAGATAATCCATAGGGATTTGCAATTGAGATAATCCATCTCAACAAATCTATTTTTTTATTGAATCGATAACAGTATCGTTTCAATATAATGATGATAATATTTAACAACAATATGAACAAACTAAGAATAAATAAGAACTTAAACAATCACTTATTAGAATAATTAGACAAATTGTCAATAATAAATTTAAGTACAATTTACATGGTACCACAAAAATACGTCATAAATATAAATAAAGAGCAAAAGCAAAAAAAAAAAACAATAAAAAAACAAACCTTAAACAAGCTTACGAACGCGTTTCAACACTGGCTGTGACTTTCTGTAATTATATATAAACAAAATACGACTGTTTAAGAAACAAAAACAAAAAATAAATAAAAAAACCAAACACACAAACAAGCATATAGGAAAACAGAAAACAATTTATATAGCAAACTTAAAGAAAAAATACTATAAAAGCGAATTTAAGGTTAAAAGTAGGTAATATGACCCTAATAAATATTATCTATTTTTTTGATTATGCAAAGAGGTCGACTATTGACGTAGGGACGTGAGAATTTTTGTATTTTTGCTATTACCAAGACATTTAATAGCAGAATCATCATACATTAATTAAATAATCCGATATCAGGTATTTTATTTAGTAGGATATCATCTCAATTAAATCTCTATCTCTTCATACATGAGCATTAAGCAAAAGTCCCTGATCCCTTTCAAAGTAAACCAAAATCTATAAAACTTTTTTATGGGTGTTGGGCAAACTAGCAGACGGATTACCTGATGGTAACCAACCGACGCCGACTTTATCCATTCATACCAAAAGAGTTACAAGTGCGTTGCCGGCCTCTTGTGGGTTATTAGGAATTTAAGGATTGGAGATTGGGGCAGGGAGGATTGGAGTATTAATAATTATTTTGTAAATACCTGTACGTTGTTGTCGTGAAGATAATGGCGTGGCGGCTGCGGCCGAGGCATAGGCTCGTCACTATCATCATCCTCTTCGAAATCTGATGATGAAAGACCAGAAACATCACCTTTAATACTAGATTTTGATCATGATGCTGTACAAATGTCCAAAATCTGAGATATTATGTATAAAGAAGTGCTTAAAAAACAAAGCAATAGTTTTTGCGTTACCAGATGATGTGAAATGGCGTAAGATCCTATGTAAAGTCAGCATAACTATTTGATATGTAGATAAAAAAATAAAAATTGACTGAGTACGAAAACTGTTAGCTATTACTACACTAAGGGCTGTTTTTCAATGGTTAGCTAAAAGTTATCTGGGGAATTATAAATTATGATCCGTCAGAATGTTTGTATAAGATAGTGACAGCAATAATTTTATTCCTCAGATAACATTTATCTGACTATTGAAAAATCAGCCCTAATCTATATGGTTATTAATTAAGTCATATCTTATATGGTACGTTTATAAGGAAATCTGTGACATGCGTTTGCAACGTATATACACGTTGGCGAATGTGTAAATGCATGGAGCTTGCAGACGTTTGCCAAGTCTCGGCAAACGTGTAAGCCTACTAATCAAACCATTCGTCGGCTCAGTAGACAAAGAATAGTTACTGCATCTGTACTATTACAAACTTTATTTTCTTACCTAACAAATAACTATGCAAACTAAACCTAATAACCTGTAGGTAGAATATTCGCTAATATTAAGCTACATGTGGTCAACTCACTTTTGAGTTAAGACCTTACGCTTCTGGGAAACGCAAATACTTCGCAAACCTACAAAAGTCGAACGTAGTAACATAGTGTAATGGGAATATATCGTACTAACCTACTATCCTACTAAGCCTTTGGTAGGATAGTAAGCTAACCTTATTTACTTACTTCAGTTAAAGCAAAAAGTTTCTTTACAATTTATATTCTAGTTGTTACTATCAAAAACAGTTTGGTAGATAAATATACTTTCTAGCGGCAGTGCCGCCCTTGTACTGTACTTTCATCAAGCACAAGAAAAATATTTCCAGTGTTTAATCCAATTAAATATTAAAAAATAAAACCTATTTTAATAATTGATTTGACAATAGAGACTACTAGAACTTTCATTTCGAAGAAGTTTTGTTTCCTCTCTTAAAATGGCAAATAAAAATATCCATTTTGACATTTCGATAAAAGTAATGATTTTGACTAGTTGTTAAAAACCGTTCGTGTAAATTATATCTAAACTTTATTAATCAAGTAGATAAGCATCAATTAACTCTGTTATCGATAGGTACAGGAAAAACTCTAATAATTAATTAGATATTAGAGTATCTGAAGTTCCCATTTCGGTAGTTTCCAACTAAGTAGACAAATTCAATAATTTTATTGAAATGTCAAAAACGATACTTTTCTATAAACTTTGTAAGAGATCGCAATATATGGCGTAATTTTTTATTTACTACTATATTTTTGAAGTTAACTTGAACAAGGCTAGATTTAACTATATCGTCAAATCAATGAATAATAATTTATTTATGACCTAGGAAACTATCATATATATTAAAGTACCCTACTTTAAATTATGACAAATTTAATGGTTAAATCATGCTTTAGTAATAATTTTCGTAAGAAAACTTTTATAAAAAAGTAGTTATAATCTATGAACTTCTTTGAGTACGGTAGTCAGTATGTTTGAAATATATTCGCACAAATAACACAGAAAACTAATTTTGGACGTAAATAATCAAGACATCAAGATATAGATAAAAAAACTAGTGTTTAAACAATCATGCATTTGTAATCAATGGAATAAAACCTAAACCAATATTGAACACAATAATCTCTAAAAAAATATATTTAACACATTACCACAATAATATAAAATTAATCTAAACCCATTTACATACACAGAAAACACGCAAACACACAACACTAAAAAAGGGAGCCGAGCAGTGTAGATTAAAAAGGAAAATAAAAACGAAAAAGGTGCATTATCCTAGTCTATGGTTGTATCCTTACCTCTTTGCTTTCTGCTGTCACCTTTAACGGTGCCCTCCGTATCAGAGCCCTCTGCAAAACATTTCTCATGTAACGAGGAACATTGTGCGAAACGAGTTTGAACTGCTAATATTCTTTTGAACAACGGGATGAAGTCACGATTGACGACAATTTTTTTAGAAAAGATTTATGTCGAAATTAAAAGAAGAGTCCTTGCTTTTAAAAAAAAATCTGTATAGTTTGAACTGATTACACTAAATCATTTGTTTTTTTTTTTGGAGCCATATCAGTTCAGTAGGCATTTATTTTCTCTGTACCTATTGAATCGAACTTTTTTTTCGTACTTTCATACCGAATAACTATGCAGATTGTACATTATGTATTATAAAACTACATAAATATGTAATATCTACGTAATATGAATAATTAAATTCGACAATTATTTAAAAATCCCGTGACGTCTATTTTCTTTTTGCACGCCACGGGTATTTGTTTTTTTTAATTGACATTTTAAAATTGTTTTTTATTTGTTACTTAACATCGAAACGGATGTAATGTTAAACCAATGACGACCTTTTCTTACAAGACAAAGGCGTTTTGAATTTGAATTTTGAATACCAAACTTTATACAATTTCTTTTACTCGAATTAATTTGTCTGTCAATCGCGACGGTCAAGCCCGAACCGTAGAAAAACTCGTAGAAACACAAATATGATACAAGCATGCCCAATGCTTCAAAACATCCGAAATGTATTTAAAAATGTCAACTAATGATTTATCAAAGAACGAAAACATTTTGAAAGAGATAGAATTTTAATAATGTCACCTCCATAGTCTTTTGCTATACTATACTACTAACAAAGTAGTTTCATTCATTTAAAAAAAAACAAAAACAATACCTAGTACGTCATCTTTTAAATAAAACGACTGAATGAAGCAATCATTTACGAGATTTATAATATTTCAGATAATTCAAGAATAATTAACGTAAAAAAAATATGAAGACTTATTTATTAGGTAACGATTACAGTACATTTTTTTTATTAAAATTACAGATTTTTTTGTCAACGAGTAAAAAATCATTAAATAACTTTTCGCACTGGGTGAGGCGAGAAGGAGTGCCAGACTGTTATTGATTAAAAACCACCCCGTCTCTTCAGGGCCGCGGTACACTATAGTGCTTATGCCTGCAATTTTTTTTTTTAAAGATATGTTGGCCCACTTTAGGATTTTCTCCTGTGTTGTGGGTGCGTTTACAAACATACAATGTCACATACACATGACACCCAGACCCGAAACAACAATTTGTGGATCACACAAAGTGTTGTTCCGAGCGGGAATCGAACCCGCGACACGTTGCACGGCAGCCAGTTGCCCAGCCACCGCACCAACCGTGCAGTCAAAGCGCAATCCCAGCTGGAATTTCTTTACATGGATAGAGTAACCTCGCTTTACTGACAGAGTGACAGATTATTCGTATTTTTTAAGGCTTTTTAAAAGTATATACCAGTATATGTATACAGGTTTCACAAAGAATAATGTATCTATAATATTATTTCGTATCGTAACATATTTCCAGTACCAAATTTTTTACTTGTTCCAAAGGCTCACTAGTAGAGAATGCCATGTGGCATTAAGTCCACCTTTTTTTATCTAGGTACTTCATGTTAAAAAAATAAAAATAAAAAATGATAATAAGACTATGTCGGTGACATTATTACATTTTCGACTAAAACTATCTCCAACTAACCAGAGTTGAGTTCCCGTACAAGCGTCGACATGGCGTTGGTGACGGAATCCGCCGCGTACAGGAGATCGCTTCGGAGGCTACGGTTGTCTATACCCACTGGACAAAATTTACACACAATCGCAGATATCACACAATACAATTGAACATTTAATATAGTAAACTAATAGAAATTGCAAAAAAATGTTCTAAATATATTAAACATATACCAATTAAATACTTTCTTTTTACTTCAAAATTTTTTTTTACATAAGTACACGCTTTATATATTCACCTTCATGATCATTATTTTTAACACATACAATTGCATAGTTGAATAAAAATTTCTCAAATAATACATTTCTTAGAAGGTGATATCGTGATATCATAATTTTGAACCAAATATTTTAACTTATCTATTTCTCTTGATTTTTTTTTTTATATATAATAGGTCGGCAAACTAGCACACGGATTACCTGATGGTAAGCAATCAGCGCCGCCCATGGACGCCCGCAATGGAGGAGTTACGAGTGCATTGCCGACCTTTTAGGGATTAGGGATTTGGAGATTTAGGAACTGGGGAGGGATTGGGAAGGGGAAGATCCTTTATTTTTTTGTTATGTAAGTAAGTATTACGCACATAAACAATTTTATTATTAAAATTTATTTCTCTATATGTCTTCAAGTACTGCTCAACTCCCTTTTTTAATTTAAGGTAAACTTTGTGATAATTTTATGAGTCTCGAGTGACAGCAATAAAATAATTGTAACAGGACACCTAAAATTGTTCAAAAAATTATTTGTCTATCCCAAATAATAATATTTAATCCGTAACCTACATAAAAATTGTTGTAGCAACAGTCATAAGTGTAATTAAAATCTATATTTATACCATTTTAAGATAATGTAAGTCAACTCTAAATATCAACCTTTAATTTACAATTATTTTTATATCGTGTTTGTTATGCATTACGAGAAATTCGATACATGTACTGAAAATTTCGGGAAATAGCACCGAGGCAAAGTTGGGATGGGCTGCTAGGTAATAATTATTATTATTTAATGTTATTATGCAAATGTCGGCTATACTTACTGGTAGTCGGTCGTTGATTTTGATGGAAGTTTCTGGCATCGCCGCCCATGCTTTCCATACCTGTATGACACAAAAACTTACATTTATTTTTCTTGTGGCGACACACATTTGAAGTTTGACAACATTCAACATAATAAGTTTCCAACAAGTCAAATTCAATACTTATATCAAAATGACAAAAACTACACTTTTCTGTGAAATTAGTATGAAATACTGAGGTATGATGAGGACGTCATAGTATTTTAACGTCAAATAGCTTACTTATTTCTTAAAAATTAGCTAAAAATATCTAAAATTTAGTATATCAATCGATCAATGAATGAAAGTATAGTTATTTTTATTTTTTTATTATATTGAAACGTCGAATTAATTTATTTTTGACCTAGGAAACTACCCAATTATGACGTAATAATTCGGCGAATAAACACAGATAGAAAAATCCCAAGGCGGGAGGGGTGGGGTGCCTCAAAAATCATTAAAATAATGTGACGTACTTTATGGATGGCCCCTGGCCTGGTCGTAGATCCTCCTTTTCCGATCTGAGGAAACTTTACTACGTGTTCCCATTCCCTAAAGATAGCTTACCATACTGCCAGTGTCACAATTCTTTTTATGTAATAGGAGGTAAACGAGCACACGTATCACCTAATAAGTGATCAGGATTACTAGGAAAGAGTAGGCTCGTTTTTTAAGGATTTGAGGGTCATATCGGTAAATTCGGCAATACCGTCAGGAAAGATCATGTGATCATAGTGACGAAAAAATGTAATAAGAATAGAATAAATAACATTACCGACTAACTATCAACCCTATCGGATCCCATTTATAGTGGCTACAAGTCTGAGTTCCATGTTTATTATTGAGAATTTTCCAAAATCAAGTTGTTTAGTTAGGAATTGCCCACATTGTTCCAACCTACGAATCAAATCCGTGACTCCTGAAGCCGCGTTTGCAACCAAACTCATGCATTACTACTTACAGTAAGTGCAATAGAAGATGATACCACATACTCAATACTTAAGGACTATATTTGCTTACCAAGACTATGTGACATGTCAATGCGTTCCCTTTCTCCGAGAGAGGGCGTTTGTGGCGCACTCCGTACCGTACCTCGTGGCGGGGGCTCTCTGCAAACAATAAAAACCGTCTTAATTATTATTCCGTTTACAAAGAAAATACCACTTCTCATAAATGGAGAAGGAATGAGTGAGAATGAGAAAGAGAGAGTATTAAGACCAAAAAATATGTATTGTTATTTGAAAACTATTACTGTATTATTCGACCTTCGAATTAACCAGTAGTAGTAAAAAACCAAAGGATAAAATCAGAATTATTAATTTAACAAAGGTCATTTTGAAACTTAATAGGAAAATGAACTTTGTTATATTTGAAACAAAGATCACTTTGTTGGGCTTACCTCTCCGGCGCGCTAGGTTGAGGCTGGGTCCCCGGTAGTGGTGGGCTTTTTGTGGAACGAGGCGAAGAGTTCGGCGTTGATCGAGGAGATGATTGCTGCGTCTGCGGGAGACAAGAAAATTAGCTAGTTTCCTCAGTCAAAATAAATGATTTCAATGTAAAAAAAACTACTAAAATAGTGAAAACAATTACATTTGCATACATTAATTTTACGATATACTTATATTAACATTCGTATTTTTAGCGTTATTTCCAACCAAATTTAATAAGTGTGCTATTTGTCACAAACTCACAACGTGCTTTTTCATAGAATATTCAAAAAAATATAGTTTTTTTTCATTTCAATAAAAGTTTCATCAGCATATAATTAGATTAAAGTTGTGTAAATGGTCTCTGCGAAGTTGGCTTCGGCCCTCGCAAATGACGGGACCCTGTAATCCCATGATTGGTAAAGACATACAAATAATTAATACATACATTATTAATTATTTGTAACAGTATGATTGACACAGTGGTTGTGCAACCAGTCAAATTCTCTTAATGAACTGTGTGAACCACAAATTGTTTTTTTTTTCATTTATTTCTCATATTTACAGTAAATAATACAGGATTATCAACTTAAAATAGCAAACAAAAACCTCTAAGTTTTAAAGTTATGCTATCATGAATCTATCTCAAAATCAAATTCTGGTTCCGGGTCTCGGCAACATAACAACGCATATTTATTCATTTATTGGTGTGGTAAACTAAATGAGTATATTTTTAGGTGATAGGTCGGAAAAAGAGCAGACTGATTATCTGATGGTAAGCAAACTAAGCAATCAGCGCCTTCCGTGGACACCCGCAACAGAGGAGTTACGAGTCCGTGGCCGACCTTTTGGGGATTCCGGATTATAAAATATCAGGGAGGGATAGGGGTAGGGGAAGGATTGGGCCTCTGGTAACCTCACTCTCACGGCGAAACACAACGTTGTGGTTGTTTCACGCCGGTTTTCTCCGAAGCATGGCTCTCCCAAACTCGAGAATGAGTAAGTTAGAACCTTAGAATTTGACAATTTATTTGGAGTAAAATTAGGTGGAGTGCAAGCGTTTGGGTTTTTTACCCTACAATATTAGTAAAATTGTATTATTGTACATGTAAACAGGAGAAAAGTTGTAGTGTGGGGAAACGTGGACATAAAATGTGACGTCATAATGATTTATTAACTCGATTAATTTAACTAAAAGCCCCTTGAAGTAGCACTAATTGAACAAAAACTATATTAAATCGTAAATTAATCGCTATATTTCACATTAATATTTTACGCAATTGTTCGTTATTTTATCTCAATAAGAGTGGTTATTTTATAGTTTTTTAATGTTTTTCATTATTTTAACATATTTTTATACTAGGTTTTACTTGCTTGATGAGTGATGATATGTTAAAAAGTGCCACAATCGCGCAATGCAGAAAAAAATCTCCAATTTCTATTATATTTGCTGAGAATTTAATCGGCCATGATTCAGATGTTTAGGAGATGAAAGACTTTCACGTTTCGTATGAATTAAAAATCTCAAGAGAACTTGCAATGAAAATATTATGTATATTTTTTCGACCTAGAAAGTAAGCTATGTAAACAGATTTGCCGACTTCGCTTTATTAGTTGATATAATGAAAAACCTTCCTTGAAAATTGCATTTACAAATCTAAAAAGATCACAAACACATTAGAACAAGCAGACATACAGACAAACATTAAATCTTTCCTATATAAGTATACATACATAATTTTCTTTACACAAACTTCGAAGGTATAAATAATAGCGAATAACTACATTATAATATACGTGGCGTCAGTGGTCAAAATGAAAGCGTTTATTCTAGTTTGCGCCCTATTTTACTTGGGGGTGGCAGAGGGTTATTTGACGAAATCAAAACGCGCGAAGGCAACGACCGTTGATGTCGTGAACACCGATGGTACCAAAGGAAGCTGCAAACACGAAGCCTATTTGCAAACATTGAATTGTTCTAACAGAATCGAAAATGGTAAGCATTTTTTCATCATCATCATCATCATCATCATCATCAGCCTATAAGTACCCACTGCTGTGCAAAGGCCTCTTCTCACACGGATAAAGCTTGAGCATTAATCGCCACGCTTGCTCAAAGCGGATTGGCAATTTCAAACTTATAATTAGAAATAAGACTCCTAGTTTCCTCAATATAAGTATTTTGTCTAGTATGCCAGTGGTGTCTGATTAATTTTAGAAAATACGTATAACTCTGAAGCTGTCACATTGGTACTCGCCACACCGTCATGGATGGGAAGTTGACGCTTTAGTGCCAGGCTACTACAAGCGTGTATGTTAGGAAAGTATTCGGAGGTGGATAAGGAGGTGTTTTTACGCTATCAATTTACAAGTATCATTTTAACTGGCTGCAAATAGTGGCGAAATAAAATTGGCATCTCGTACTTAAGTCGTAATATTAAAGAAAACTAGCTAAGCCGGTAAACGTTGTTTTGCCGTATAAATTATTTATCCCTAAGGGATATGAAAAATAGCTAGTAGCCGATTCTCAGATCTAGTGAGTATGCATATAAAATTGGACAAACAACAGCCTTTTCGGAGATGTAAGGTAACTAACATTGTGACCCGAGAATTTTATACTTACATAATATTAACATATATTAAGTAGCCTTTTTATTTCCCAGGTTCCGTGGAGGTCGCATGTCTAACTGACGTTATCATAAACTATGTGGAATGCACAAAGAAAGCAGAAACAAGTATCGCAAGCAGACGTAAGTTTCTTTATGAACGTTAATCGCTGTGGGGGTCAGCATACTGGTACCACGATAAAAAATAATTCTAGCTAAATTTTTCTTGCCCGACAAAAACTATTTAATATTTTTGATCGCTGGTGGCAAACTGACACTTGCGTGTCTGTCTTCAGAACGGATCCATTTAACCTGGTGTGGTTTATTCCTCAAAAGACCACTACAGAATGAACTTGCACGGTTCCATACATTATATTTATTTTTAACCCCCGACGCAAAAAGAGGGGTGTTATAAGTTTGACGTGTCTGTCGGTCTATTGGTCTGTCTGTCTGTTTGTCTGTCTGTGGCATCCTGCCAAAAACAGACAGAGTCTGATCGGATGAAGCGCTTTCAATTTAGTTTCTTTTTTGTATTAAAGGTGACTTACGTGCGTGTGTTCTTAGCATGTTTGACGAAAATCGGTTGAGCCGTTTAGAAGTTAAGGGGTATAAGTGGGGAAGGGTAACCGAAGGCCTGCAGATATACTCTAGTGGGGTTTCAAAAAATGAAAGCGAATGTTGATGACTAAATCGAGAGAAAATAATAAAAAATACCTATAAAACGTGTAAAAAAAATTAGACCCTCGACAAACTAGAAACGTTTTTTTTAATTATTACTTTTTAAAGGAATATTAGATATTTTGATGGGGATTTTTTTAAATTTTAAGATATTTTCAATAAACTTAATATGTATAACGATAATTACTATTTACTAACTAAAAACAATTTGCATTTTAAAACAAAGAATCAAGTATTTATATACGATAGATGCCATAAGAAATATGGCAACTGTAGATACTCGTAAAGTATGACAGCTATGTCCATATACATACTTCACGTGTCATTGAAATTAAAACCTAAAACGTATAATGCATTAGTTTCAGATTTAGATCCAAACGGCAGTGGTAAACTAGTAAGGTGCATCTTAGACAATGTTCTTGACTTGGCAAAATGCATCGTGGACAGCGAACTGACTGGGGATTTCAAATGTAAGTACATACAAAGTCTAAAGTGTTAATAGAAAAGAGGCCTGAGTCCGAAAATAAGGCATTTTAATCGTATAAATCATATGTCAACAACAACATACCAACTAAGCCATAAAAGCGTCTAAACAGAATAGTAGTCTGTCAGTCTGTTCGTCAGTGAAGCTAGGAGCTCGATTCAAATTTGTAGATTCAGATGGAGAAGAACTAGCAAGAAACTCCATATATAATATCTGGAGTATGACATGATAAAAGCTAATTGAGTTTGTACAGCTCTGAAATACTAGTTCGAATATAAAAAACATTATTGTGGTAGATATTCCATTTATTGATGATGGGAAAACTGAGTAAAATTTACCAGGTGTTAGCTAGTTTCGTGACACATTTTTTTATGACATATGTATACGAACAGACGGATTACCTGATGGTAAGCAATCAGCGCCGCTCATGGACACTTGAAATACCAAAGGAGTTACTTCAAGTGCGTTGCCGGCCTCTTGTGGGTTTTTAGGGATTTAAGGATACGAGGTTTGAGGAACAAGGATAGTGGAAGGAAGGATTGGGCCTCCGATAGTCTCACTCCAGCGAAATACAACGTAAGGTAACGGTTTTCTGTGAGGTCGTCGTATTACTCCGGTCGAGCCAACCCAAAGCCGAGACAATTTGTGTCTAAGCATTGTTATGTATATGAATATATACTTTTATATTTCAGGGAACTGGCCGAAATTTACAAAATGTCTCTACCAGTATATACCACAATTAATAATGTGTAGTCTGTAGCTTATACACAAAAAAAACTGTTGACCATAAGACTATAATGTTGTTTTACCTACAATAAAACTTTACAGAGAAAATTCGACTTTTTTTCATGAAACACATGACATTGTCAACAGTCCACTAATCCCGTAACAGGATTTGCTAATGAAATCTCGACATACGCTATATCAAAATTATAATAGGAACACCATACAAAAATAACACCACCCTGAATAACGCCCGAAGAGAGTAAATAGAGGGCGTTTGAAAGAAGAGACATAATGACTAGAAGAAGCGACAAGAGAAAGAGAGAATGTCAGAATGTTACTGACTAAAATCCACCCCGTCCTGCTACATTACGCGACCCTGGCTAAACATATAACTTCGCATCACCTGATGGTAAGCCATCGGCGCTGCCTATGAGCACCTAAAACGCTAAAGCAGTTTCCGTGGCCGGCCCTTGGTCAATTGTGATTGGGGAAAAGGGGGATCATTGGGCCTTATGTAACCTCAATAACAGAAAGCAAGTCTTGTTTCACGGGTTTTTCTAAGTGACGATGTTTATTTACGTAAAAAGTAATGGACGGATTTAAGCAAAAGTTAGCAAAAAGACTAGACAGGTCTCGACTGACACACTTAGGCTACAATTTACTACATTAACGCGGGTAAACCGCTGATGGAAGCAATTTTCGTATACATATATGTTTTTTTTTTCTTTCAGGGAAATGGCAAGGATTCCTAAAATGTGTAATGGGTTATTTACCGATGACCCTGAAGTGTTTTCCAACGATAAGCTAGCTCATTGTAACAATAGGCGAGGCCACTTCTATAGATCTATAGCTTCATTACGCGTTAAATCAATACTATCCTTGAAATGTTGAAAAAGGATATTTTTCTCTATGAATTTTGTATGAAATGACAAATAAAAAGACAGTTGTTTATGAAAAATGAAAAGAAGAATAAATAGGGCCCTAACACTAACTCTGTATGATAATCTATAGTAGATTTGTGACAGTATATGCAATAAAGTATATTAATAAATAATTGGAAGTACGATTTATTTTTTTCTAATCCATTGTTTGTATTGTAAGATACCAAAATAATTTATATTTGACCCACATAACATTGTACATTGTAAAATACAGTAAACATATTTCACTCAAACCAGTTCAGCTAAGGAGTTTGGTGGCGAATATGTACGCAACGAGTCTTATTACTAGGCCTTATTACAAAACTTTTTTCTTTAGTCTATGCCTAAACCATTGAACCATTAAACCATTGACCCATATTTTGTATTTCAAATTTAAGGTAGGCGAGAATAAGTTTCGAAATACAAAACCTGACTCAATGGTTTAAACCTAGACTAAAGATAAATCTTGTTTTGTAATAAAAGGGATATGAATGTAATTTAAAAAAAATATATTTAAAAATATGTCTTGGTGGCCTGGTAGTTAATGCGCATGCTTCTCATGCATAAGACTTCGAAACCTGGCAAGTACCAATATGACTTTTTCCGAGTTATATGTACTTTCTATGATTATTTAGACACCACTGACCTACGGTCAGGGAAAACATTATGAGGAAACCTGGATTTATAATTCCTGATTATAAGTTTGAAATCTCCAATCCGGCTTGAGCAAGCCTGTTGATTATCTAATGCTCATACATTCTCCGTGTGAGAAGAGGCCTTTGTTCAGCAGTGAGCACTTATAGGCTGATGATGATAATGTTTTTTTTCTTAAACAAGACGTTGCCCTACATTAGGATTTTCTCCTGTGTCGTAGGTGCGTTTACAACAAACATATAAATTCACATTCACATCACACCCAGACCCGGAACAAGAATTTGTAGATCACACAAAGGGTTGTTTCGTTCGGGAATCGTACCCGCGACACGTTGCACGGGATACCGCACCAACCGTGAGGTCACTCTCAACCACCGTGAATAGTATCATCATCAACAGGACCTGTATCATGTTTGGTTGCTCCTGGCTTTTCATTAACCACGCTACCAAAATATTCAACCAATTCACAAAACATACCTTGAGCATCCTCATAAGTCCTTCGAGTTGATGCATGAGGTGTTTGCGCGACTCCTGTAGAGAAGACAGGTGACCCTCGAGCTCGTCCTTGCGCTGCCGGAGGAGGCGCAGCTCCGATACTAAGGGAGCCGAGCCCACGCCACCACCAGCACTGGCTTCCGCTTCTTGTTGGCGTCTGAATGTTAAAAGAATATATTCAAAGATGTTCGTGAATAGGTTAATCAGGATAGCTGGATAGAGAGAAAGAGAGAGGAAACATACATTCTATCTCTCTCCCCCACTCTCTTTCTTTCTCTTTCTCTCTCTCTCTCTCTCTCTCTTTTTTGATCTATCTATCTTTTTTTAACCCGATTAGGCAGATCTGTCGTACATTTAATACCAACATAGTAAGGAGGAAGCCCTAGTGGACATTTGACAGCGTGATGTTATCTTAAATGCTGTAGTCTGGCTGTCCTGTCGTAATCCGAATTAACGTATTATTAGTGTTATCAATACAAATGAGTACGTATTCGAAAAAAATAACTTTCTAATGCAATAAAACTATCTAAAAATAATTACACAATCAATTCGATGATTATACAGTATACTTTATATATGTATCTTTTTAGATAGTTTTGAAGAAACAACAAATTAAGATTAACTTACTTTTTGAAGCCACAATAAAAAAAAACATCACAACACACGGTACAAATATTAAAAAACCGTCAAAGTTTACAGTTCCTAAAAATTCTTATAAAACTGTCAAAGTTAACAGTTCCTAAAAACTAATGTATTCAAAACAAAAACAATAAATATACATCTTAACATAGTATTTATACCAAAAAGTACAGGTATTGTCCCTTACCTGAGTCTAGCGATCTCTCTCATGATCTCCCTGTTCTTGGCCTCGAGTTGTGAGATCAGCTCGCGTTGTTGTCTGGCGGCGTCTACCTCTGAACCTTCCGATGAAGAACGGCCCTGCGCAAATACATGACACTGTATAAAACATCGCGGGGTTGTGGATACAAGAGCAATAATTTACTGCGAGACTTCGGCTTTGTAGTAGAAGTTACGGAGTGGTTTTTGATCAGTAAGAGTCTGACACTCCCTCTAGCCTCACCCAGGGTGGGAGCAGTCATTTGATGATTTTCCCCTCACAAAAAAGGCTTCTTGACATCGTATCGCATCAATAAGTGAACTTAATTCTTTTGTTTTTTATTATTTTTCAACTTTATTGTTTGTTATAAGATCGAAAGTCGAATAGCAAGAATATACAGTTGGGCAACTGACTGCTGTGCAACGTGTCGCGGGTTCGATTCCCGCACGGAACAACTCTCAATGTAATCGATAAATTGTTGTTCCGGGTCTGGGTGTCATGTATATGTGAAATTGTATGTTTGTAACCGCACCCACGACACAGGAGAAAATCATAATGTGGGGCAACGTTTTTATAAAAAAAAAATGTTTGGAGTAGGTTGCCTGCAGATTCAAATCTGATTTGTTTTGATTCCTCAATATATTTATGTTAGTTAGTATATTTTTTATTGAGATGACAAGTAAACAGTAAATATAATAAATAGTTCTTTAGGCTTTTACATGAAATAAATAATCTAAATTGATATTGGATTCAGTTCTTTGCTATATTCATTTAAATAAAATTTTATTTATTTTCAACTCTTTACAATTTAAGGTATGAAACTACATTCTCATTTGCATTTTCTCAAGTTTTATTTTGTTTATTTGAAGTCATTAACACAATATAAGATTATTTCTATGTTAGGTATAAGAATATACTGACCAGTTCTGGAGTAAGAGACGCTGACCTGCCGGCTCTGGGCTGCAAAGACAAAACAGGTTAAATAATAGAGAAACAATTGGGTAGTTTCCTAGGTCAAAAATAAATTAATTCGACGTTTCAATACAATAAAATATTGAAAAATTACTATACTTTTATTCATCGATCGATCGATACACTTAATTTTAGATATTTATTAACTAATTTTTGAGAAATAATAAAGCTATTTGGCGATAAAATACTATGACGTCAAAACTCAGCAGAAAAGTATCGTTTTTGACATTTGGATAAAAGTATTGAATTTGACTAGTTGGAAGCTACCGTATTATTAATTTTTGACTATAAGCTGCTTTGTTGGCTAGATATAGGGTGCTTGTATATCTTATTATATACTTAGTCGGGTCATAAGTTCTGTCAAAACCTTATATTTTTAATTTTCGATTACTGGCCAGAAATTCTTCGACTTATTTTAAAAATAGAACTTTCGCGCTTGTAGAAAATAAAAAAGAAATTATTTTTTATTCATTTTTAAATATGGAGTGATCGAATAAAGAAGACAGAATCGCGGTTATCGCGTTGCACCGCTGTGGTTACGCGCCAAAAGACATTTTCAATATTCTTCAAAATTTGAAAATAACGTTACGGTTTGTTTATCGTACTATCAAACGATACACCGAAGAGTCAAGCTTCGAAGATCGTAAGAGAAGCGGCCGACCTCGCACAGTTCGGACACATAAGGTCATCAAAGCAGTGAAGGCGCGAATCGAACGAAATCCCGTACGTAAACAAAAAATCCTAGCTCTGCAGATGGGGCTAAGCAGAACCACTGTTAAAAGAGTACTAAATGAAGACCTGGGACTACGAGCTTATCGTAAAAAGACAGGACATTTTTTGAACGAGCGTTTAAAAAAAATTAGGCTAGACAGATCCCGCGCTTTGCTACGACGGTACGCGGGAAAAAAATACCGCGAAATTCTTTTTTCGGATGAAAAAATTTTTACTATTGAAGAAAGTTTTAACAAACAAAATGATAAGGTGTATGCCCACAGCAGTGAAGAAGCAAGCGCGCGTATTGCGAGGGTCCAGCGTGGGCATTACCCTTCCTCATTCATGGTTTGGCTTGGAGTCTCATATTCAGGCGTAACTGAGGTGTTTTTCTGTGAAAAAGGTGTGAGAACTAGTGCCGAAGTTTATCAAAATACTGTCCTAACAAACATAGTGGAACCTCTTTCTCAGACAATGTTCAGGAACAGGCATTGGATATTCCAACAGGACTCTGCACCGGCTCATAAGGCACGAAGTACGCAAGACTGGTTGATCGCTCGTGGAATTGACTTCATCCGGCATGAAGACTGGCCCTCTTCTAGTCCAGATTTAAACCCACTGGACTACAAGATATGGCAATATTTGGAGGAAAAAGTCTGTGCTAAACCTCACCCGAATTTGGAGTCTCTCCGAGCATCTCTGGTTAAAGCAGCGGCAGACATAGATATGAATGTGGTGCGTGCAGCGATCGATGACTGGCCGCGTAGATTAAGGGCATGTGTTCAAAATGGGGGAGGGCATTTCGAATAATGTAAATAAAATTATATTGTACATTTAATGACCTTTCATTTCATATATAATTTTTAAATAATTGTCAAAAGGCGTATAAGTTATTACATCAAAAGTTTGTGACAGAACTTATGACCCGACTAAGTATAAAAATGGATCGCAAAATGTGTTGGTAAGCGCATAACTCAACAACGTCTGTACCAATTTTGCTATTTTTTTATTTGTTTTGTTATTGTCAGGAGAAGGTTCTTATCAAAGAAAATATTAGAAAATTAGAAGGGAAGATTGGGAAAAAGTGACCCTTTATTAGGGAGATAGTTGGACCCGTGCGAAGCGGGGGCGGGCCGCTAGTTTAATATAGTATTGTTGGGCTCGGACGATAATTATTTTTGTTTTTCGAAAATTATTCTGCATTGGTATGGAGTTAGCTCTGAAACTGTGCCCGGTGCGTGACAAAAGGCTTAGCTAATTTTACATTGGGCTAATTAAGGATGGGGGGATGGCGATTGGGTCTCCAATCAAGTGTAAATATTCGTCGTGTGTGTGATTACCGGAGACCCAATCGCCCTCACCCTTCCCCTATCCTGCATCCTCAAATCCCTCATCCGTAAATCCCTAACAGCCCACGATAGGCCAGCACCCGTTTAGTATTACTGTCCATGGGCGGCGCATATTGCTTACCATCAGGTAATCCGTCTGCTCGTTTGCCGAACTGACACAAAAAAAATTGTATAATGTCGTATTATATAACATTACATGCATCTCTGCTTTCCCCTTCGGAGATAAAGAGCGTGGTGGTGTAAAAATAGTATAGCTATACATACCATAGTCCTGTTCTCGTGGGCCAGCCTGGCCGCATACCGCGCAATGAGGCGATGCTCGTCATCCACACCGCGAGATAAATGCTCCGCTATACCTTGGAACAACGGAGGGAATTATTATTTGAGATACACTTTTGTTTTTATATTATAGCTTAGTATTATAGCGGTTAATTATCGTCATCATCAGCCTATAAGTGCCCACTGCTGAGCAAAGGCCTCTTCACACACGGAAAAGGTTAGAGCATTAATCACCACGCTTGCTCAAGGCGGATTAGCGATTTCAAACTTATAATTAGAAATTACAAGTCCAGGTTTCCTCACGATATTTTCCTTCACGGTATGTCAGTGGTGTCTATATAATCATAGACAGTACATATGACTCGGAAAAAGTCACATTGGTACTTGCCAGGTTACCAAATCGCGCCCTCATGCATGAGAAGCGGGCACCTTAACCTCCGGGCCACCACGACACTATAGCGGTTGACAAATGACAATATTTCGTAAATAGTAGACTTGGGCTTCTGTGCAAGAATGCCTCCTCGTACGCCTCCAAAACAACCGGGACCCTATGGTCCCGCAATTGGTAAAGAACAGGCATGTTAGGGAGCTCCGTAACCGTAACCGAAACTATCGGATATCTATACTAATATTATAAAGAGGTAAAATTTGTAAGTTTGTATGTAGAGGGTAAGGGCTTGGCATCGCTGGTCGGATTTCTAAAATTCTTTCACTGATAGATAGATACAATTTTCTTGATTGCTATTATAGGCTATAAAACATCACGTTATGGTTAAATGGAACAGAGCAGCGGGTGAAAAGGCGCGAAAGTAGCTAGTCCGATTAAAAAAAAATATCAATCAACCGTAACCGAATCCGAAATAAAAGTTTCGGATAATATCGGTTAAGGACGGAGTCTAATTGAACCTAATCGCCTATACCCCGCATGTGCAAACTCTTCACAGAGTCCAGCAACCTGGCTCACGTCCACTCAGATTCAGTGTCAGCATTTGTCAGAAATGTCAAACATAGGAGAACTGATGTATAGCGATTTAAATTAAAGAATATATATTATCTAGATTTAAGTACGTAGAAATAAGTTATTAAATTATTGAATAGTTGTAAGATGTTGATAGTGTATTTTGCATGAGGTACCTGTAATTGGTTGTTCAGTTGGATATAAGACACCAATATTTTAAGTTCCTGTTCTTATTATATCTGTAACAACTGTTGGTTAACCTAAATAAATAAATATAAAAAAATAATAATAATTGAGACACATTATGTTTGTATTATACTTTTGAAATTCCTTAAAACTTTAATATCCGAAACTGAAATTATCTGAAAGTAATGGATAATCCAAAATAATTTCATATCCATAACAGTATCCAGTACCTATAATAATCATTCCTATATCTGTATCCAATCCCTATACGAAATTTCATATCCATACCATCCTTAGTACAGAGATACAATTAAATAATATTATACTTACTGCGATGCGTTGATCGTGAAGATCTAGAGTCCAAGGATCCAGTGTTGACATAGCCTCCTACGTACTCTGGGAACCCGTTGTGAGCCGGCACCGGGGATGGGGGCCTGATACAAAAAAAAACAACATGTAATGCTATTTTTAAAAAGCTTGTAATGGGGCATTACTTCATACTTTTCCTTTCACGGGAAGTACGAGGGGCCGAAACCAACTCGCAGAGGCTGAACAGTTTTACTCTAAATGTGATAGGACATCGTCGTTTTCTACTTTATTATTATGAAGTTAGTACAATAAAACATTGTAATCATATACAATATCCGGGGTTGCGGATGCAATAACGGTAATATACCGCAGCCCTGCTTTGGAACCGGAGGAGTGGGGTGGTTTCTACCGAAGGCCCAATCCTTTCACCGCCCTCTCCCTCTAATAACAGAATTAAACAATGAAACAAACATGTTTACACGTCAAAAATATATCAAAAACTAGATGAAGCCGGCATTCCTATCTGAGTATTCCCGAAGGCTAGAGGTCCCGTCTGACCGTCAAAAAACCTGGAATCCCTAAACACTTAACTTTTTCTTATGCTTTATTGTACACAGAAAATTGGTATAAAAGGCGGCCTGAATGGCATATGGCAATAAATAATGGTAATGAATACTAACACGATATGGCTGAGGTTGAGCGTACGCTCCGGTTGGTCGGGGTAGCGCGGCAACTGCGCCCGCGCACGTTCCGGCACGCAGCGGAACGACTTGCGCAGCGTCGCGCCGATCTGCTTCGACGGAGATTTCTGCACTCATACACATTCAATTAGATTATCTTACTGATATTATAAATACGAAAGTTACGATGTTTGGATATTTGTTACTCAATCACGCCAAAACGGCTGGACGTATCTGTATGAATTCTGGTACAGGCATAGGATACACTCCGGAAGAGGACATATGCTAGTTTTTAAGAACATACCACATGGGTGAGACGTGGGCGGAAGCTAGTATTACCACCATATACATGTTATCAAAACTTACGGCCTTATTACAAAAAAATGTTTTTCTTTGGTCTAGGACTAAACCATTGAGTTATTGTTGCCCAATCCCCCCCCCCCTTCCACATCCTGCATCCTTAAATCCCTAATAACCCACAAGAGGCCGGCAATGCACTTGTGTGTGGTATTACGAGGGTCCATGGCGGCGCTGATTGCTTACCACCAGGTAATCCGTTTGCTTGCTTGCCGACCTATAACAAAACGAGGGCAAATAAACTAACTTATGCGTAAAATAACACTTACATAGGCCGCATATTCCTTGACCTCATGTTCGTTAGTGTGTGTAGCGGAGACTCTGCCCCTCCAGAAGCAATCCTGGCACATTGTGTAGTTAGCGCAACGAGTACAGCGGTAGCGGAACCCGGTCAATGAACTACGTCGGCATACGCTGCAGGCTAGGGGGTGCACCACTGCACAGAAATACGATTATAAATTAAAGAATTGTTTCAGATATAAATATTATTTTATTAATTTTATAATGCATTTGGATTCCATGGATTGGGTTAGAATGACCACTTTTTTCCATAGTAATGTTATGCAATTTATAAATATTATAAAATCGACATTTGTAAGCATGTATAGATTTTTTTTAACTAGTTTTTACCGTTCACGGAACGGATATTAATGAAATTTGGATTTTTTTATTGTGTAACTGTGGACGAAGCCGCTGGCAGAAGCTATACTATAATTAATTATCTTTAGTCTTAGAACATTAATGACGTTAAATATCGCATTGGCTTTTGTGCTAAAAAATCAGACTATTCGTTAGATTTTAGTTACCTATTTGGTATCATCCTTTTACGGAGTTGCGCAGTAAAATTCTGGCATTCAGTAAAGACAGACAGTCATTTTTACTTATAAAACTTTCAATTATTTTAGTAATTTCAAGCAATTTTTTAGTTAACACCACTTTGGCAAAAAAATACGTACCATTTTCAACGCTAGCAAGTCGATGCAGCAACGGTAGCCAAACCAGGCAGGGCGGACCGGGGTCCGACATTAGTGTATCCAGAAAGTCGTTCACGGTGATTTTACCATTCTGGAAAAGACATACGGCCTTATTACAAAACAAGGTTTTACTTTAGTCTAGGACTAAACCATTGAGCCAGTTTTTGTATTTCGAATTGAAGGTAGATGACAATAAGATTCAAAATTCAAAACCCGACTCAATGGTTTAAACCTGGACTAAAGATAAATCTTGTTTTGTAATAAGGGGGATAAGGTTTAAATTTGCATGCCATATGTCTACCTTACAAGGCAATTCAAATATAATTAAAAATGGATATGGCTTATTTTGAGGTGGGATATCATCTAAGTTATTCTCCCGCCCAGGGCGGAGACAGAGGGAGTGTCACTCTCACTGACTAAAACCCGCCCCATCTTTTCTCTTGCTCTAGTCCGGAGCCATGGCACACTATAGCGCTAGTACCTACAGTCACCATAAGCGCTGGTCTGCGGATGGCGAGCGAGGGTAGCTCGCCGCCCGACCAGAATCAGACCCGAGTTTTCGGCGCGTAGCGCTTCGCGAGGGACTAGCGCGTAGCGTTTTACACGTGTCTTAGATCACCACAGACGAGGCCTTACATGGCCGATGTTCAGCCGGGATTGCGGCGCAATAAGGTACTGGGGCCTCGGCCTAGAGCAGGAGAAGGAACGGGGAGGTTTAAATCAGCAAGAGCCTTACATTCCCTCTCGCCTCAACCCGGGCGAGAAAAACCATTTGATGTTTTTTTCGCCTCAAATAGCCACTCAACAAACTGCTAGTCTATCAAGTCTTTAATAATAGTAATAAAGTACTTATATATAAATTCCTCACCTGATTAAATATAGTTAGTGCGAGTGAATCGGTGTAGCTGAATGAGGGTGACTCGTACACCGCGGCCGGGAGGGCGAGTACCTCCCTCAGGTAGTCTGATAGCCTCTTCATCAGGAGGTGACCGTTGCCATCCGAGAGTTGGGAGAAAATGTCTGGTGGTGAAATATTTAAAAATAATAATTACTTTATTTATAAAAAAAATATCTTCATTGAAATTCCTATAATTGTTTTATTGATGTGGTATAATTTACATTTTGATGTGACTAGATGGCGCCACAGTCGATTAAAGGCCGAACCGTCTTTTTAATCTTGTGTCTATTATTATAATTTTACAATTTTGAACTTAATTACTCTATTGGTTTTAATGCAATATAGGTTAACAACTTTTAGTATTTGATCGCAACCTTGTAATGATAAAAGTTGCAGTCAAATTTTTGCTAAAAAAAACCTATTTGCCTGCAAAATTCTAATTTCTAGTTCATCCATCATCACTGTATGATACTAAAAATGGTAAGTAACAGATAATTAACACACTTACACGGTCCCACCATTAAACAGCTCGACACGAAGGTTATAACACCAAACATGAGTCATGATTGTCATCAACAATATGTTTATTATTTGCATTTTACAGATCCTAAAATGATCTCGGTAATAATGATTCACTTTACGATCACCTTGGACTGTATTGAATACATGCCTGAGTACCTATGCAATTTGCTTATAGGAAAAACTTGACAGAAATAAAAAAACACAGTTTTCATATACAAAACTATAAAAAAAAACTACTTTATGTTGTAAGAATAAGGTTGGTTTTTGTTTGGTACAGGTTTTTTTATATATTTAAGTATGGGAGACTCAAGATTCGGCACGATTGGGGCGGCTCAACCAGAGCGATACTACAGCCTTACAGAAAACCTGCGTGTAAAAACTACAGCGATAGTTTACGCCGTTTAAGTAAGGTTATTAAAGGACCAATCCTTCCTCTACCTCCATCCCTCCCCAATCCCTACTCCTTTATCCCTTAAAGACCAGCAACTCACTCTCTCACTTCTCTTACCTCTGGTGTTGTCATTGTCTACAGGCTGAATAATTGGGTAGTTTCCTAGGTCAAAGATAAATTAATTCGACGTTTTAATACGATAAAATATTGAAAAATAACTTTACTTTTAATCATCGATCGATCGATACACTAAGTTTTAGATATTTTTAAGCTAATTTTTTAAAAATAAGTAAGCTATTTGACGCCAAAATGCTATGACGTCATAATTCAATGTTTCATACAATTTTCATAGAAAAGTATCGTTTTTGACATTTGGATAAAAGCATTGAATTTGACTAGTTGGAAACTACCGTATTACCACCAGTTAATGTGTCTACTTATTTGCCGCCAAACAGAATTATGAGAAGGTCAGACAAGTACTTACATCGCAATTTGTCCATCAGCTTGCCAGCACACATCGTGGCGAGAGCCACTTTGATTGAAAACACCCGAATTTTACCAACATTATCGCTGAAACAAGAAAAAATACATTTATGAAATTACTTCGCACTGTTATCTAAACGGTTGCAATTTTCCTACTTTCCCCTCAATTTTTGTACAATTATCTTTTATAGGTATCTACTCCTGTCTGTAACGATCACGACAAAATGAGAATTGTCAAAATTGGTCTAGGCATTATTGAGTTATGAACTTACTAATACAATATGCGATTCATTTTTAAATGTAAACTAGCGACCCATCTCCTCTTCGCACGGGTCCTACTGTACGTGTAAAACGAAAGGTTGAATAATCCCAATTAACCTTTTTATTGTTTTCTAATATTCTGTTTGATGAGAACCCTCCCCTGACAATAATGATCACAACAAAATAAGAACTGTCAAAATTGGTTCAGGCATTTTCGAGTTATGCATGTACCAATACAATTTTCGATTCATTTTTAAATATACATTACTTTAAATTATAAGTACACAAAAACATAACAATGTCATTTGGTGGCAAAAATGGCCTTCAAGCATATAATCTGAAATTAGATTTGGTCACTGTGTAATCTTATATCGTTTTGTAATACTTGAAATTATAGTTTGAAATGGTGTATAGTATTTACTATAAATTAAGTGCCAATATAAATGTTTAAATTAAGAAGGAACTAAGAGGGCTTGCAAAAAGTAGGTATCACTACAGATACCTACACTTAATCTTAATATCTGTATTAAAGACATTTGGAATTGATTTGGAGTAAAAAGGAATTTTTCATTCCAATTTTTAAATTAATATTTACATGTTTTCATTTTGATTCGTTTTATTTTATTACGTATGTTGATAAAAAGTAGCCTATGTCCTATTCAGGAGTTTATCCTATGCCTGTGCCAAATTTCATCCAGATCCGTCCAGCCGTTTGGCGTGATCGAGTAACAAACATCCAAACATCGTAACTTTCGCATTTATTAGTTAGATTGACATTGTATCATTCTTTAATTTATTATTGAATAACACAAAGTAACAAATTGAATGATTTGGGCTATATTTTAACAATTTGATATAAGGCTAATAATTACATTTATCTTAATTATATTTTATAAATTTTTGCATGCCACATGGTATTTGTATTGGACTCTAATACATTCACTTATCACCTAATTTTTATACCTACATTCAAAGTAAATAAAACATTACATTTCATTTCTATGGCTTTATAATGCATAATCAATTTGTTAAAAGTTAACACTTATAAATAATCTGAATATAAATATTAAATAACAAAAAACCGATAAAATTCAGCAAGAACAAAGCCTAAGTATGTAATTAAAACATGTATACACAAAAGATCTGTAATAATAATAATCATCATTATGTTCAATATATATGTTATTAAGTGCACAATGTTAATTATAATGCTTGTAAGAACATGCTAATGAGCTCAGCATACCTGCTTAATCATTTAATCTGAAGGACAAATCTTGAAGTACAGAACTGTATGATCATAGTTTTACAAATAAATGATAAAAGGTTACAAAAAAATTATATTTATTTGTATCTAGGTAAAAGAATTGTGCTGTATATGAAAACATATTACATAAAGAAGGAAGGGTGACACAGCTTTTTATTTTTACTCTGTGACCTAGATGATCAGGACTGCTTTAAAGAGTAAGCTAAGGTATTTATATGTCACATTACCCCACTTTTAACGGTCAACTACAAGTGTAACATAAAAGAATCAACTATGAAAAGTCATTTTTGTTTTATTTTTCATTTTCTGTTTCCATTTATAATATTAAGGGCCATTTAATACTATATTCTCCTATACCTACAGTACAAAAGTATACTATATATAATTATATATATAACATAATTATACATTATTAACTTATTTAGAGAATGTCTGTAGTTCAGCAGTAAAGAACTATAATAACATACAAAACTCACCCGGTACTGTAAGCCGAGAGCAACCAGTTCAGCAACAAAGCAGAGCAGGCTTCAACAGAAACTTGGTGAGCAGGCGGCAGTCTCTTATTCAAGTTGTGGTATAAAGAAGACACCAGAGTTTCCAATCTCGTCACATTCACACAGGCAGTCGGTTCTAAAGTATTGAGAGCATTCTCACGGAAGGCCTCTATTACATTCCAAATGTCTATTACGTGTACTGAAAGGAAATAAGACACTGTTTAGATGTGTATTCATATAAATTGCATGCAATAGACATTTTAAAAATGGCTGCTAAACAGTGATTTTAGCTAATTGAATATTTACAAACATCTATATGTCCCTAACAGACATAAATCACCCATAGATATTATATACATATTCGATTCTGCTTCCTAATCAAAAATGTTTGACAATAAATCAATTATAACATGACTTGGAAGTTTACATTCAGTCTAAAAATATTAAATTGCTTTTCCACACACCAACTAAAAATATTCATGACTAATATTTCAGGAACAATTATTCTTGACTAATATTTCAGGAACAATAGTTTCATCTCATTTAATTGGCAATAAACACCAATTTAAACCAATAAAAAAATAATAAAGTTGTTGGTAGATAAATGTACATATTTGCTGCCCCACCTACATGATAAACTGTATTTAGAACTAATAAAAAAAGAATTGTAGTTTTCAAAAATAGAATGTTATATTTCAACAGTAGGTACATTACTCACAGTTACATTTCTTTTGTACATAGCGGAGCTTGCAGGCGGTCCTGTATGAGGCAAATCTGATCAAGTCAAAGTTCTGCTCCCTCATCTCTTGCAGAAGTTGAGACCGAGGGTCTGCAGCAGCGCCTCCGGCAGTAGGGCCCACTACACCCCTTATATCCCCCACACTGGGCACTCCGCCCACACTATCGCGTTCGAGCGACATTTTCACTCCTAAACACAAAACAACAATGTTTTTATCAAGAAAAGCTAATTCTGAAGGTGTATATTAACCGCTGACCCTACTTGACAGCACAAAGATAAGAATGAAAGTGATTTGAACGTCATAAAAAATATAAACAAGACCCGCACTCCCAGATTTCTTCTACGATCGAATTTCTGTTAATAATTACGAAATTTTCGGCGTTAAAAATGTCTTACCTTAATCAAACGATTAGCTCATTACTTTGTTGACATAACGATAATGTATTCACGGCAAACTCAAGATTATTTCTGTAGATAAATCGATTCAAAGATATTATTAGTGACAACTTGATATTTATTACTTGAAGATTTAATGATAACGGCTGACACATACACTATTTCAATGCACAACGCCACTTCTCGTCTATAGTACACTATTTCCTTATTTAATTCAAGGAATAAATTATAAAAGTCATTTCTCTACGCCAATAAATTACGGAATATCGAAATCAACATGACAAGCCTGCCATTTAAACTGCGTTCCTGAAATCAGAACATTGTTATTCGAATGAAATCTACAATTACGTGCCACACGTTTTGAAAATAAAATAGTTACGCAAATTAATTACTGTTATTGTTTATCAATATTTTAGTAACATTCGTTGTTTTTAATAATGATAACAATATCTCATCTTGATAATATAGATTATATATGGATAAATTGCTCATGATATTTTTGCGTGTAATGGAAATGTAAATGTCATCCATAGACAAAAGTATTTGTTTTTTTTCGATCCCAACGTTGGATAATTGTAAATATATTTGTCGTAGAATAATTATACATTTTATTCTTGAAATTAAATATTATAAGTTCTATTACACGTTTTCTTTTTCACCTTTTAAACAAAATGTTACAAGCAGGAATGAAACGATACCTAGCAGTTTGTCAATCCACTATACCACTGCCAGTTACGGGTAGGGTTGCCAACTATATTGTTAAAAACAGTATTATACTGTTTTTCATTACATTATACTTTTTACTGTTGAACAAAAATTAAGTATCCAAAATACTGTTTTCAGGATCAACATAAAATACTATAAATGTCATTATAACATTTAGGCGCTCACATAATATTGCAAACTTAGAACTACGCTCATTTACTCAATCTCAGTGCAGCGCAACGCAACTACAAATGAATCACAATGTGATCACAATAGTGGCGTTTCTGAACAAATCTGTAAATGACAATGTAAAATATTCAAGACAGGAGTGACAGGACTGATTTCTCCCGCCCAGGGTAAGGTGAGAGAGGGTCAGACTCTTACTGACTAAAAACCTTCTCCTGCTCTGTGCCGAGGCCGCGGTGCCTTACTGCACTTACCCCGCAATCTCGGCTGAACATCAGCCCTATAGGACCCTATTACTATAGACTACCAGAGACGGTGCCGTCTGTGGTAACGGTGGCCGGAGATCGTCTCTCGATCCCCGACGCCCAGAGTGTCGGCTACTGCGGCGGCTAGGACGTGAGGAGGAGGATGGCTATCCAACGCGGTCCGCCTCCTCCTTTGCGAGCATGAGTGCTTCACATAAAGAGACTTCCCAATTCCTCTCGCTCCACACCATGGCCTCGACTAAGGCCGGGCGCGAGAGAACGCCACTAAGTTCTAGGTAAAACTTCATAATAAGAAGTATAGGAATGAATAATAATATGACATATAGGATATGAAGAATTGGTATATTATGCCTCACTACGAAGTTTTTAAAAAAGATTCTAAATTAATAAGTTGTGCGAAAAGCGAAGCCAAATATACCTACTTTATTTTTTTGTAAAAAAAGTTGGTTGCCCTAGTTACGGGTAGGTAATCATAATTCAGATTTGAATTGTTGTGATTATATTTTATAACGCGTTGTTTTTATAGGCACTGCCTAGTTATGACAATGGAGGATTCATTTCCTTATACCTAACAAAGGACTGATTGAGATATTGGTGAGTCGTTTTTACGTAATGTGAAGGTGATTCAGAATAATCTACATACCTACCTACCTCAGAATACAGAACAAACCAGAATCCGCGTTCACTCATTATTACATGTCGTCTAATGTGTCCAAAAACAATACGTCAGTCCCCCCGCTAGCCGCACTTCCCACCCGCGTAGTGTTGCCGACAGGGAACAATTCCCTTGGTTTGGGGTAATTTTACTAAAGGGGGGTAAGATATATTTTTTTGGAAAACCCAAAAAAAACATATAGGAAAACTTACAATAATTGCAACAGACTAGTTGTTTACACATTTCATGCAGGTATCATAAAAGTTGACGATTTCTGGCTGTGTTAATTTTAGTTACACCGACTATACACAACGTGTATAGTAAATGTGTTTTTTATCCATTTTAAAACTAATATGACAAAGGTTCCACAATGAACAACAATATAACTCACAACAAATAAATAAGTGGGTAAAATTTACACCAAAAATGACAACACTCACAAAATTGCCGCATCATTGTCATAGAAAAATAAATCGTTAAAAGAAAATCAATAATTAATTAAATATACTATTGCAGTCGATACTTGCAGATGAAATGTAATCTTATCCACTTTTTTCGTAATTCCAGCTCTATTTTTACTAGTAGGAATAACACAAGACTGCATAATAAAATTAAAATTGATTCTCGTAAATACGTCACGACATGCCACGTGCCAAAATTGACTGATCGTAGAAATTTCATACTACTCTAGCTAAGAGTGGTTTTAGTGGCTTTAATATGAAGCGCGTTGCCGCCTTCTGGTTTGTTCTGTATTCTGAGCTCCTTACATAGAAAACAAAAAGTTTAGTTAGGACTGTTATGGTTAGGTACCTATTTTAGGTAAGTTTATTTTTCAACAGCTTAGTAGGCGCAGTAGGTTGAATTAAATTACTGCAGTACATACGTATAACATGTCATGGGTTAGTTCCTGCGCCCCGTCGTACTCATTTTCAATTAAACTGAGGGCCTAGTGCGAATTAGTTTTATGTTAAGGCGATTTACACGTTTCTAAAGTTCGGCGCTCTGATTGGCCAGCTCTAGGTTAACCAACCAATCAGAGAACTAAATACGGTAAATTCTCGATTACGTCAACAACGTGAAGAAAACTCCACTTCGTAGTCCGTTGATTAAGAAGTAGGAACATTTTCAGCTTAATTCGTAGGGTGAACTCATCTAATTCTGTGACTCGCCTAATTCGGTGATATTTGGTTTGAGCGCTATCATGGGCTATACGAGTGAAATCAAAGGTTTGAAATACAACCTTAAGCTTCAGTGATTAATCTCGAATTCGTCTGTAAATTTTGGGGATGCTCGAGTGAGCGAGATAGAAACAGCTAACGGTTTTGTCAGTTCGGGCGCGAATTTCGACGGTTTCAGCAGTGGTTGTGAATTGGTGGCGAACTTTGCTTCATTTATATAAGTATTTAACCCATTTTTTAGCTTCTTCCGAATAAAATGAATTGTATATGATATTCGAACACGAAAACGTGTTAGAGCTTATTTTGTTCGTCAAAAATATTAGTGTTTTAGCGGTTGAGTGGTTTCTGTGCTATCACAGAATTATAGTAGTCATGTACAAATATTTGTGGTTTTAACTAAAATTATTGACTTATTTTGAGTGTAGTAGACAATATTGATGTTATTTTATTACGTTTATCTGGTCTTAATTAAATTGACGACTTTGAGCCAATATTATATTTTGCTATCACGGAATTAGTTGACACTTTTTTTTGGACTTGTCACGTAATTGCGTGAGTAATTTACCAAATTTTACAGTTTTTTTTATTAATACGAGCTCAACTTTGGGCAGCCGCTAAAATCTTAGCAGGTAGGTACGTATTAATTATTTTAAATTGCAGATTCGCTTTCAGATAATCATGGATGACCCCAACAAGAGGAACAGAAAATACTCGGAGACCGATCTCAACGTTACTTGCCTAATTCCGTTATATTCAGAATTAAAGTATAAGCTATCACGGACTTAAAGAGGTCACCACGGAATTAGGCAACTTGGTTAAGTAAACTTGGTTTAACTCCTAGGTGTCTAGAAAAAACCTGATTAGGTATTTGTGCTAATAGTCCTCATAAAAGACTGATAAAAAAGTCATGCTGATACTGAATTAAATTAGTTAATAATTTACTGGTATTTTGTAACCCAAATGCATTTGTCACGAAATTAGATGAGTTCACCCTACTCCTGTTTTAGTATGGCTAATGCTTGTAATACCTACTAATTTTGTATTGCTCACTGTCAAAGGTTCTTTTTTTATTACAAAATTAATTTTGCACCGCCCCTGAATTTACTCATGGATCGGTGGATGCGGTTGTAAAACTACAGTTTCATATGAATATACCCAACACCCAGATCGGGAAAATTTGGTGAACATTAACCTATTGTCTGCCGTTATAAGACAAACAATAGAAAACACATTGTGTCTCGATGGATATGCACTGCGGCATAACACCTTTTCCATGTGGAAATGGAGCCCAAAACACTAATTTAAATGGTTCGATCCTTTGAACATTTCGCGCGTTGGCTATGTCATGTAAGACAACATCTGCATTCACTATCTTAGCTGCTGTAGTAGGTCACAGTGAAGTATCCTGTCTGCTAACAAACACCCCTAACCTATTTTCAGAACTCCTATCCAACGTTCAACAGTGTTTCTGACTTAATATATCATACGGATCATACCTAAAATAACCAACAGTGTTTTCCATCACTGTTCAGACATTCTGAAAGATTTTTATGGGGCATTGATTCCACACATATAAGTCGCGGGGCCGCATTATATTATTGCGCTTGCCCCACAACCCTGGCAACGTCTGTGGTGGTGTGTGGATGTATTGGCTCTTTGAGGAGGAATCTGGTAGACTGGATTTGTATTTTATGTGTATGTGCATATGCTTTTTCTGTTTGACTGCACAGTTGGTGCGATGAATGGGTTGCAACGTGTCACGGGTTCGATGCCCGCACGGAAAAAATGTTTGTGTGATGTGTATGTAAAATTGTATGTTTCTAAAGGCACCCAGGACTCAAGAGAAAATCCTAGTGACCTAGGAGAAAATATTAAATTTTTAAATAAGTAAGATTTGGTAGAACTGAAATTAATACGAACACATTTATCTAACACATTTATTTATAAATGAACACAGTTTACATTAACATTATCTGCTGCAGACAAATCAATATAATAATAAAATCATTATTTACATTATCTATTAAAAACTACACACATATTATGTATTATTGATATGAACAACACAAAGACTATATTTTTACAATTTCTAATTATTTTTACTCGCCCGGAGCATTGCCTTCGATACACATTCAATTTATAAATATAACGTTATTTTTTTAATAAGTAGATAAATTAATTTTAATCTTCGTTTTATTTCTCTAAATATATTAAAAGTAGTTACTTTCCTACTAAAAACTTTTTCGGGACGCGAGTTACATAGGTAGATATGTAAGTAAATGGTAGGATTAAAAGTAATTTAAAACCAGACGATACCTACTAATAGGTGATAATTATATAAAAATGTTTTTTTTATAGGACTGATGATAATGTCTTTGATATCAGTTCAAAAAGTACAAAATAAAAAATATTAATATTCCTTTCTCCCATATTTTTGCTTATTTTTTACCTACCGAGTGCGAAATTAAGTCACAACTTTAAAATTACCATTATTCGAATTTGTATTAAGTCAGCTAACGCGCTATTTTCACCGGATGGTAAATGGGAATTATAAATGCGTTGCCTACCTTTTGCGGGATTGAGGATTGGGGGATTTAAGGATTGGGAATGATGGGAAAGGATTTCTTTTCCGGAAACCTCACTCACACAGCGATACACAATGTAAGTGTTGTTACACTGTTTATCGTTTATACAGTTTTGAAGAAGTTCAGCACTCTTATAATTAAAAGTTATACAACAGCAAGTAAATAAGAGTTGGAGGCGTCCCTACGTGATTAAATTTATAGAAATATATTTAAATATTTATGAAATTACATAGGTACACTACATATATAATAAAAGCAGTATATTTTTTTAGATACACGAGTGTACATCTCTCAGGTATAAGTATATAAAGATATATATATTTTTATATACAAAATTATTGTGCTTGTCACAGATTTGTTTGCTAGTTGGTCCAGCCAGTGTAGGACGTAAATTATTTAAATATGCTTAACGTCTAAGTTTAAGCGTATCTAAGGGTACAGATTTCTTTCCATATAGCTCTTAAGATTATGTGGATAGCAGCGATTCTCAACATTTAGCGGGAGCAAATAAGTTTAACTTATAGGTAAGTTTGTTTCTTCGATTTTCAAATTTCAAGAGAATCAACCGTTTTATTTTAAATACTGTTTTCTCTATTTAAATATTAAAGAGAAATTAACTTCAAATTAAGAAAGGTTGAGTAACAGCTCAACATAAAATAGACTTAGCACATTTTTCTACACAAAATTTTCTAGTTAACCAATTTACACTTAGCTATATATCTTCTCAAAGAAGCATTCAACTACCAAAATTCAAATTTTTTTAGGTATACAAATTAAAACTTAATATTTTTTATAATAACGACTAAGTATACTATTTTATTTAGGCCTGTGCTTAGGCATATTTTCAACTAAATTTAATGCATTTAAGTACCTAACAATCTGATAAACAATTTGGCAGGACAACATTAGAAGTTTACAACATCACTACTTTATACACATGTTACTACGAAACAGAAGTTAATTATAACACATACTTACATACGTATGGCCAGGCTTACCTCCCATCGACATGATACGACAAATGACAAGATCCGGACATACCTCTTTCTCTTCATCTATATTCGAAAATCTCTTCATGCATGCTCGCCAATAGAAAGCGCTTTTAATGCGACCTTTTTCGAAATATTGCGTTTTCCCACCTATATCGCACTCTACAGACTTCCCCAACCATATTCACTCGATAAACCTCTGTCTCACATCTCCTTTGCTAGTTTGGTCACTACATCCTCTTTTAATTCACATTTTCTCATATTACGCTGTTTCACTCTCCATGAGTCATTTTTTTACTCCACATTTACTTCTTTAGGGTTTAGAGTAATGAATCTCTGCAGCATTAAATCTGAATCCTTGGTTCTTCTACCAAACCTATTTGCCACTACCATATATTACCGTTAGTGCCAAAACTCCCCGCAATACGGAAAGTTGTTATCCAGTGGATAACTCAAGGTATTATTTATATCTGCTTTCTGCTCTCCTTTCGATATCTCCTTCACTTTTACCGTCCTTGGTAAAAAGAGATCCCTAGTATATAATCTCTTTCACTTGTTCCACTTCCTCAGTTGCTATCAAAATCTAACGCGTGCTGTCATTTCTACACTTTTGTATATAATATGGTTATTACTTTCGCCTTTATATTACATTCACTTTCAGAACTTTTCTTTTAAACAAATCATTCATTATACAGATTATATAGTCTGCAGGTTAGATGCCGATGATGCAAGAATTACTTGATCATCAGTTCAGCAATGTTTTGGTCACTGGTCCATTCATTCTTAGTCTAAAATCACGTTCTCTCAAGTATGTTAAACAGCTATCCATTAAAAGGTTAATCAGCCAAGGAAGATGCTACGAAGCCCTGTCTAACACCTTTTCTTAACTATTATTAGCTGAATATCTTACAATAAAAATATATACAGAACTTTTCGCCCTTTTCAAAAAGTTTGACGACCACTGTACTTTACCATAGACAACGGGATTTTGACATGTCAAGTTTTAATATAGGCGTACATTTTTGACGACATCCTCAGAGAATATATTGATGATGATAACGATTTTCAATTTAATAAAGAAGTAAAAAAAAACATTATTTTAACATTTATATAGGAGATTTTTAAATAAAAATATATACGTGTTTAAAATAGGAATTACACATTTGAGCCCCGTTTACAACAAATGAAGGAAATATTAATATTATATTCATATTTCCTCACCATACTTCTCCTGAAATATGCCCTTATAAGGGAGATCTTTCTATAATCCACGATTCTTCTAAAATATTATAAAGCTTTATTTTCTTAAATATAGAGCCAGTGTTTCCAAGAGAAGCGGCTGACAGGAGCGCCGCCTCGAATAGCTTCGTGTTCAGATTCCGGCGAAATGCAGCAAGCCAGGCGCTGGAAGAAGAATATAGTAATGAAAACCTAGTTCTAGTTAAGCCTCTCCGTTTTATTATTTAACTAGCTTTTGCCCGCGACTCCGTTCGCGCGAAATAGTGACTTCCTGCAGATTTTTGGTATAACAAATTCAGAGTTCCAAAACTATGTATGTAGTTTAAGCGTGAAGAAAACACAGACGGACAGAGTTACTTTCGCATAACTATAATATTAGTATAGATTTAAATATTAGCCTAACGCTAGTATTTTATCTTATGTCTTAATTGTGTATACAAAAACACAATGTCACATACAAATCTCAACCAGCCCCGGAACAACAGTTTGTAGACCACACACAGCGTTTTTCCTGGGGGGAATTGAAATTGAATCAGGTATCCGTGCTTACCATCAGGTATCCGTCAGCTCGTTTGCCGATCTATGTCATAAAAAATAATATTTTGGTAATATTACCTGTCGGAAAGTCCCAGGAGTGGAGATCAGCTTGTAGATCGCGACGATGGGTATCATGAGGATGGAGGAGCAGGCCAGCCCCCAGCCGAGCACCACGGCCCATGGGGGATACGTATAGTGCTGGTACTGCAGCGGTTGCTGGTACAGGAGACCGAATACCACCACACCCTGGCAGAATAGAAATTTTAATATTAAAGGTGATTGGAGAATATCATTTATTGTATATTGGTAATTTTATAAACGTCGTGATGACTTGTAGGTTAAGGCACCCGCTTCTCATACATGAGGGCGAGGTTTAGAAACCTGTTAAGAAGACATCAATCTAATTTTCTCCGAGTCATATGTACCTTCTATCATTATATAGATACCACTGCCACACGGTAAAAGAAAACATCGTAAGTAAACCTGGACTTGTAATTTCTAATTAAATGTTTGAAATCGCCAATCCGCATTGAGCAATCGTGGTGATTAATGCTCAATCCCTTGCTCAGCAGTGGGGACTTGTAGAGCCATCATTCAGCGTCATTGGGCCGACTCGACCGGAATGATACCACGGCCTCATACAAAACTGGATAGAGACAACGCTTCTAGTGTCTTTCGATGTGTGAGTAAGATTTCCGGAGTTTTTAGCCCTTCAATGTTGCGACTGTCCATGGGCGCCGATTGCGTCCCATCAGGAGATTGATAAGCTCGTTTGCCATGTTGATGTTTAGAAGAAAATACGAAATGTATTTCTTGTAAGTGTGGGAGAGCCATGCTTCGGCACGAATGGGTCGGCTCGACCGGAGTGATACCACGGCCTCACAGAAGACCGTTGTTTTTCGCCGTGTGAGTGAGGTTACCGGAGGCCCAATCCTTCCCCGCCCCCATCCCTCCTCAATCCCTAAATCTCCAAATCCCTAATCCCTAAAAGGTCGGCAGCGCACTCGTAAATCCTCCGTTGCGGGTGTCAATGGGTGGCGCTGATTGCTTACCATCAGGTAATCCGTCTGCTCGTTTGCCGACCAATTACATAAAAATAACAAAATAAAAAAATTGGAAGGCATAACAGGTATGTCTTTCCCGCAGGTCACATCATCGCTTACCACCAGAAATGAAGAAGACTGTCACAACCACGACAAAAAGTAGCAGAAAATAGCACGGAGTATTACTGAATTTTGTATGTTGCAGACCAGAGTTTGAGAACTTTCGGTAGTACTGATAATTCTGGAGTCTATTCTACTCGGTAGACAAGAAATAATTAAACAGATAAGTCACTTACAATTATGAATGTGGGGCTGACGAATTTCCAGCATATTCTCCAATATAAACCCGGTCTAAAGCCGAGCATCTCCTCCACGTCATCAGAGAAGCGCTTCAAACCTGCAATAGACATCAGTTGTAGTATAATAAACTGGATAAATCCAAGATATAATAACTGTTAGTACATCAAAGCACGTAGAAATTAAACTAATAAAACTTCTTAGGAAGAAAATATGAAGCTCAGAATAATAGCATTTATGGAAAGATTAGTTTTACCATAGAACCAAGAAACAGCAACCGCTTCGAAGAGCGCGGAGCAGAGCAAGGATATACCAGCTGCGTAGGTGTCCAGTAAATGAAACATGTAGATACCACCCTGGAAAGGTTATAAATAAAATTAGGATGTTCAAAACTCGAGAACTGCTGGTCCGATTTGACTCATTTTGATATTGCAAAATTGGCGGAAATCTAAGAAAGGTTTTAAAAATAAGGAGATCGCCAGTTCAGCAATTTTACGTTATGTTATCTTTGGTATTCTATGTGGTTAGAAATACCCATCTCTCGTAAAACTGACCAGTTCAGAAACAATTATGTGTGGATATAAAAAAAATTGCTCGCTAGCTTGCCCAATCACATACACATATACATATACATACGCCTGCACAGCCAACAACTTTTTACAAGAAAATATTCCTTATGCGTTTTCAACAATAGCTAAAATTCCATAGCCAATAAATTTCCCGTTCACTTTGCCCAAGATACAGGCTCATGGCCTAGTTTGGGATCCAGTAACAGAATTTATTGTAATAGTTACTCAAAGGCTGTACATGAAATGCATGAGTAATTATAACTAACTAGCTACTTTCGCGCGTTTTCACCCGCTGCTCAGCTCCATTTGATTGTAGCGTGATTTATAGTCTATAGCACTCAGGAACATTGTAGCTATTTACCCACTACATACAAAACCAGCAAACATACAAACTTACAAACTTACAAACATACAAACTTACAAATTTTACCTCTTTATAATATTAGTATAGATAATACTAACCGTAAATTTTTGAAAAAATAAACTATTTAATTATAGAAAAAAACACGAAAAAATTAATTCAACATACCGGAGTAACATTGATACAGGCCACGCAGAAAGATACGCAGACTACGATCAGTGTGAAGTGTTCGCGCCTCAACCAGGTGGCGCCACAGGCTCGAGCCTGATCCAGAAGGCCAGTTATCACGCACTCCAAACCACCCATCTGAAATAAAAAGAATTTTGATATCTCTGGATGTCATAGCCGCAATAACGAATTGTACAGGACTAGGAAAATAACAAGGGGATCGAAAGGATCTAACGAAACATTTAGTGGTAGCGCGGAGGTTAAGGCTACCGCTTCTCATATGTACATAATGGTGCGGATCCAAAACCAAGTATGAGGCAATGTTTGTGACTTTTACTAAATTATACAGGGTGTAAAAAGACACTTAACGAAGCCGAAAGCCACGTATTCTACCCATTATTTGGATCATTTTTTTCTTTAAGACCATAGCTGGGACTCCACAGGTTCTCAAGATAGTGAAGGTCAAAGATGAATTTCTAATTTTTGGTTTTTTGCGCAATATTATCTTCTTTAAATAAAACGTTGCCCCACATTAGGATTTTCTCCTGTGTCGTGGGTGCTGTTACAAATATACAATTTCACATACACAAGACACCCAGACCCGGAACAACAATTTGTGGATCACACAAAGAGTTGTTCCGTGCGGGAATCGAACCCGCGACACGTTGCACGGCAGCCAGTTGCCCAGCCACCGCACCAACTGTGCAGTCAGAATCGAATTCTAAGTATTATTACAAAACTTTTTTCCAAACAAACATTACCTGAATTTTCGATTTTTCTAAATAAATGACGCATTTGAAGTTACGAACAGTACGTACGTAATAAATAAATGCAGACCCGCACAAAAAACATCGTGCATCTCAGTAGGAATTTTATTTTACAGAATTGTTTTGTTGTTGCGAAGTAAAACGTCGACCGTCGACCGACATACGTACTTATCACAGCGTTTTAAAGCTAAGCTGTGAACCTACGCACACAATGACACGAAGCCCGTTTGCTTTACATTGCGCGCAATAAAATTATTATTTTTTTGATACCTAAAAATAAAAGTCGTTTCCCAGTGATAATTTTAGCGTAAAGCTACTTAGTTAGAACTGCAGTATGCGTAGTTAACGGCTTCGTTAAGTGTCTTTTTACACCCTGTATGTATCTGGGTACTTTAAATAAAAGTCTTTCTTACCCCAGAATCTAATCCGAGCATGATTAGCATGAAAAAGAAGAGCATGGCCCACAGACTCGCTCCTGGCAGAGTGGCCACTGCTTCTGGATACACTTGGAACACCAGCCCCGGGCCTGTAAACAAATACAACAATGATAATTGGCATTCGTTTTTTTTTACTGGTTTACTGTTAATGAATGTACTATGGGAATGAATACAACTAGCTTATCGAATTCATCCAATGTATTTGATAGGTAGACAAAAAAGCAGGTGCATGACCCAATGGTAATAAAGCATATTATATTGTAACAAAATACCTCACTGAGATTTTTAAGATAGTGTGTTATACATATAATTTTGTATTGTTTTACTATTTTGTGATATTAGAAGATTGTATTAGTCGGAGTACATTAAATTGTTTATGTCTTTTGAATGCTTGCATGGTAAAATATGGCTGTACTATTTCTTTATTTTCTCTGCCATCTTTTGTTACCCACATCTCTATATCTATCTCTATCTCTATCTCTATCTCTATCTCTATCTCTATCTCTATCTCTATCTCTATCTCTATCTCTATCTCTATCTCTATCTCTATCTCTATCTCTATCTCTATCTCTATCTCTATCTCTATCTCTATCTCTATCTCTATCTCTATCTCTATCTCTATCTCTATCTCTATCTCTATCTCTATCTCTATCTCTATCTCTATCTCTATCTCTATCTCTATCTCTATCTCTATCTCTATCTCTATCTCTATCTCTATCTCTATCTCTATCTCTATCTCTATCTCTATCTCTATCTCTATCTCTATCTCTATCTCTATCTCTATCTCTATCTCTATCTCTATCTCTATCTCTATCTCTATCTCTATCTTTATCTCTACTATCTTTATCTTTGTCAACGTTAGTTGCAAGTTAACTAGTGAAATGGGAATGAGGGGCGCTAAAATTGGAAATACGATGTACGCAAGACTGTTTCACGCCAAGTCTGCGAGGCCGTGGTAGGTATCACTCTGGTATAGCCGGAGCATGATTCTTCCACTTACAAAATAGGTACATCATATTTTATCTTTTATCTTTTATCTTTTATCTTTTATCTTTTATCTTTTATCTTTTATCTTTTATCTTTTATCTTTTATCTTTTATCTTTTATCTTTTATCTTTTATCTTTTATCTTTTATCTTTTATCTTTTATCTTTTATCTTTTATCTTTTATCTTTTATCTTTTATCTTTTATCTTTTATCTTTTATCTTTTATCTTTTATCTTTTATCTTTTATCTTTTATCTTTTATCTTTTATCTTTTATCTTTTATCTTTTATCTTTTATCTTTTATCTTTTATCTTTTATCTTTTATCTTTTATCTTTTATCTTTTATCTTTTATCTTTTATCTTTTATCTTTTATCTTTTATCTTTTATCTTTTATCTTTAAAAATGGTTGGTTTGGTGCATGGGCACCCGCATCACCGGAAGAATTACAAGTGCACAACGACGAGGGATTTCGGAATTGAGTAAGAGAAATATTGAGCGCCCTGTAATTCCACTTAAACAACAAAAACGTTGTTTTATTCCATTCATCTGTGGCCGTTGTATCATTCTAGAGGAGACGAACCTATCAGAATATTCTAGATAATACAAGGTAAATCTCGACACTTTCTCTTATTTCCTTGATATCGATCACATTATTCGCAAGGTGCAATTCGTTACCTTCGGTAGCGACCGATGATATCGGGACTCCTTGCTTGTGGGACATGAAGCCGAGGTATGTGAAGATCACGAACCCAGAGAAGAATGAGGTGAAGCAGTTCACCAGCGTAGTCACCAAGCAATCCCTGGAAAATAAATCTTTTATCAGAACGTAACTGGGTGATCTGGCCAAATATTCCTTGGCCAAAATTCAACAATGAATTATGATATGTTCATGATTGTTCATCATTCTTTTCATAGAAGACGAAAATTCTTCTAGACTATACTAAAAAGAGTTCATGACTCAATCGTCCAAATTAGACAATTACGAAAATCGAAAAATCCTATAATTCTCAGATTGGCATAACGAATCTTGACCTGAGAATTGAGACATATTGAGCAACAAAACACTGCTTGTCACCAAGAATTATGAAAAACGTACCTGTAGCAATTATTGTGGAAAGTATTGTAGCTGGCATAGGAGAGATGAACACCAAAACCAGCTCCAACCGAGTAGAAAATCTGAACAGCTGCGTCTACCCACACCTGGAATTAAAGTTCGAGGTGTTTAACGACTTCCAATTGGCTTCTCAGTTCAGATGTTTAGATTGAGTAGCCACTTTTGCTTTAAAAAAACTCAATTATGAAAATTCATGCTGCAAAATATATTGCTGCTAAATAATGATGATTTCGGATTTTAAAAATCTGATGTGGCTCCTCAATCCTTACTTACTTTGAAAAGAGGCCTTTGTTAGGCAAAGGGCATTTATAGACTGATGATGTCGTATGATGTGAATTAGTCAAATCAGGCAATATTTTACTCTATGAAAAGATCAGCGCGTTCTGTACGCAGAACGCGCTGATAATAGTGGATAATAGATAATAGGTTAGGTCTAGGTTAGGTTAGACATTTCTACATACTCTCCTACATCGAAAACATCAACAATGAATATAATTTATTATAAAATGACATACTTGTGTGTCCTTCAACCTGGTAAGTTCTGGCTGCAGGTAGTAGGCTATGCCTCTGGTAGCTCCAGGCAGCAGTAATCCTCGAGCCAACAATATCGACAGTACCACGTATGGCATCGTCGCTGTCATCCATACCACCTTACCTGAAGATGTTAAGGAAATTGTGAGTGAAATAGGCCAATGAAATAAAATAGTTACAGGGCTAGTTGGCGGCTAAGCAGTGGTGATTAGCCAGGGTTGCGGGTGCAAGTACAATAACGTAACGCTGCCTCGGCACGGAACAGGAGAAGTAATGAGATTGTTTTTAGTCAGTAAGAGTCTCACATTCTGATCCTGGGTGGGGCGATAGAGAGTGTCATCTTCCTGTGAGATTTTCGCCCAAAAAAACAACCTTACAAGTGTGAAGGATAATCAAAATAATATCTAGAGGAAAACCACATTCGATCTTTGGAATCAACTACCCCACCCAGGGCAATAGAAGTCAATGGATGATTGTCAACACTCAAAACAAACGCACTAGTGGGATGGCTGGGTGACTATCTGGATAAGTCTTCGTCTTATCAACAAATTGTTGTGCCCGGTCACGGTAAACGTATCCTCGGCATATGAGAAAACCAAACCAAACCATGGAGTCACTTCAAAAAAATGCTTTGTAAAAAACAGCATTAAACCATGATCAAATTTATAAATACTAATATAATAAAGCTTTCCCTATTCTCCGGCACTACTTACTTGTTTAAAGTGAACAATTCTTTTTGTTTTTATTAGTTCATTCATCAAGAAAAGCTATAAAACATCACGTTACGATGAAACGCACGAGAATAGCTCGATTCGCACGATCGCGCCATTTTGTTCGATTTGTTTCCTGATTTGGAAAAACTGTAACGAGTTTTGAGTTCTTCGCAAGCACTGTATTTAAAAAGTCATAGTTTAATTGAAACAATACTCACCAGAGCTCTTCACTCCTTTGAAGAGGGAGAGGTAGAGAGTGACGTAGACCAATCCCAAACAGATCGCCAGTTGCCATTTCGGAAAGCCAAGGTCATTCAGACCTTCTGAATGTTGCATTTCAAGGACTGCTCGGCTGAAAACATTATATACAACATAAAGTTTTTTTAAAACAAAACTAATAATGGAATGCTATCATGATATGTCATAGTTGATCAAGTGCTTAAATTAAAAGTATCTACCAGTTAACAGATTATCCTTCAAGGGATGATGTCACTGAACATCACCGTACTGATCTTTAGTGATTTCATCATCATCATCATCATCATCAGCCTGTTGTCGTCCACTGCTGGACATAGGCCTCCCCAATAGTGATTTAAGTAACCCAAATATGTGATGTATGCCAAATGTTTATTTGTTATAATCCAAATCCAAACTTCCAAACTAATATTATAAATGCGAAAGTCAGTATGTCTTTTCTTCACGCCTAAACCAGTTTCTGTGAAATTTGGTACAGATATAGTTTGGAACTCGAGAAAGGACATAGGATAGTGTTTATGTAAAAAATCTGCAGCAAGTCACTATTCCACGTGAACGGAGTCGCGGGAAAAAGCTAGTAATGATTATAAAATCGCATAATACTCCAATTTAGGTAGTTTAATTTTGAGCGTTTGTTGGTTTCATTTCTCTTCCTTACAGTCCAAAATACTCGTTTCTTAGACAACGTAGTCTTATTGGCTTATTGTTCTCTGAATTAAGCTGAAAAAATCAAAGCTTATGTTGGCAGTTTCCTAAAATTGAAATAATTTCAAGCCAGATCTAAATATGAAACTCAAGGCCATATGTGACCTCGAAACTTAAGAAATAGTGAGTAAACCTCACTATTATTATAACTTCTATATACATCCTTACTTGTCATTGAAATAACCCGAAGCTTGCAAAACATCAAATTCCCGTCAAAATCTGCTTGCATTAACCTTCCCATACAAATGACATATTTTGGCAAAGGGTCAATTTCCTGTGCTCACTGATTGGTCCTTTTCTTATCCCGGATATATAGGAAACAACATTGATTGACTACAATTGTGATTCGGCCACGTGTAACATTTAACATTTAAGTGTGGGAGAGCCATGCTTCGGCACGAATGGGTCGGCTCGACCGGAGTAATGCCACGGCTCCATAGAAAATCAGCGTGAAACAACCACAGCGTTGTGTTTCGCCATCTGAGCGAGGTTACCGGAGGCCCAATTCTTCCCCTGAATCTCCAAATCTCTAATCCCCAGAAGGTCAGCAACGCACTCGCAACTCCTCTGTTGCTGCAGGTGCCCATGGACGGCGCTTATTGCTTACCATCTGGTAATCCGTCTGCTCGTTTGCCGACCTATCACAGATGTAGTTGACTAGATACAGAACAATGAATACGGGGTGTGAAAGTTACAAATAGTTTGCTAACAATGATAGGGTTTAATAATCTGAAGGAAGACGATAAACTATGCTCGCCGTGGTCGTACTTACAGCGGTTTCATTCTAAGTTCTAGACTTCTTACTTTACATAAAGATGTAGTAGAATAAAAGATATCAGATTGGTATGCATTAGAACCGATTGGGAATTTGAAAAATAATGGATGAGGTATTTAATACTGCCTGGATGGTTAGCGCGGTCACGGAAACCGTTTTAGCCGAAGTTGCAGTAGTGTTGATGTAGGTAACCGTAATAATGTACCGTGGCCTCGGCATATAGTAGGGGATTGGGGTGGTTTTTAGTCAGTTAGAGTCTGACACTCCCTCTAGCGGGAGAACTTATATGATGATATCCACCCCTCAAAAAAGGACAATCGTTTTTTTTTTAAATTTGTTTGTATATATTAACAAATCAGACGAAATGATATTCTACAAGCGATAATCTTAGTAAGGGTCAAAAGTTTAAATAAAAAAAACTATTCGTTTAAGTTTCTTGACAACTATAATGATTTTACGAGCAAGAGACCCACGGTTTATAAGTTTCCATTTACAAAAATGTTCGCTAAAGACACAATATTAAAAAATAATACTCACTGAAAGAATTCTGAAGCTGGTGTGAAATGCGACAGCGGTCCTTGGTACCGAACGTCAGTTCTGTTGGTGCCATTGACTCGACCGGAGTCCCAACACTGCTCTGTGTTCCACGAGTTGTCGCAGTGCACCCACGGGAGCTCCGAGCGAGCTGATGATACCAGGAAATAGAAGGCCCAACCTGGATAATAGGAAATAATTTGTCAAAGTTAAGTGATTTATTTCAATTAGACAATTACAGGCACTTTTGAACGTCAAACAAAGATTGAAAAAAGAAAACCGTATCAGTCTGTCGGTCAGAGGGCCTTTTTTTGTCAGGAGAAAATCATCCAACGACTTATCCCGCCCCGGGCCGGGCGGGAGGGAGTGTCAGACTCTTACTGAATAAATACCCCCTGTTCCTTCTCCTGCTCTGGACCGAGGTCGCGGTACCTCATTGCGCTTACCCCGCAACCCCGGCTGAACATCAGCCCTATTGGACCCCATCTGTGGTGGTCTATTGGCTCATTGAGGCGCGCGCGGAACGCTACGCACCGTACGCTCGGGCCTGGTTCTGGTCGGGCGGCGAGCTGCCCTTACTCGCCGTCCGCAGACCCGCGCTTACGGTGGCCGGAGATCATCTCTCGGTCGGTCAGAGGGCCTGACTTGTTAAAGCGTGAATCTTCCGGGCGAGAAAGAGGGATGGAGCTATACACCTTTCATAGTTCTCTAATGTTCACAGTTCTTTAATGGAGCCATTTGCCCGTTCTAAAGTATTAGGTAGATTCCAATAGAGAAGCACGAGCAAGAGACTTCACGGTTACATCTTTTCATGAGTTTTACAATTAAATACTTAATGTAAGATCATGCGAAAGCAGTATACAGTATGTACACCAATTAATATTTAGCCAATGAATTAGCAAACATCTATAAATATTTTATAATTTAGTACAATATAAAGATTAAGTTAATAAGTAGATAATAACTTAATTAATATTTTATTTATTTTTCAATACTTTACGTAGTTTTAGGTAATCCACCCAAAACTCAAACTCGATGTTTGTTCAATTATGAAATATGTCAATTATTGTAGATTTTGCAATATTTTTGCTATACGGTTTGATGATGATATTAGAAGGTGGATGATGTTGAGTTTGGGCTCATCACAAATATATTCGAGCACAAAGAAGCCTAAATTGATTTTAGTAAAAGTCTGATTGTATTTAAACAATTACGCAGTTTATGTTTGCATAAAAATATTTTTCATACCAAGTTGTCAATCTTTGAACATTCAAAACATAACTTATATATTTAATATGAATACATGAGTAGGTATAAATATTAACGTGTAGATATAACACATCAGGTCTGTGGCGTGCCCTCAACATTTGGACCAGTTCCAAACGCCGGCAGTCATATAAACATACATATTATAGTTCAAGATTCCTGATAAACTCATTCTAAACACCGTTAGTTAGTTAGAAGGTCAGCTTGCAGTGTTGTGGTATGCATTTTTGTCATAAACATAGTATGTGACTTATATAATAGAAAACAGTTAATAAACAGCTGTAACTCAGCCTATATCCAGTAATAAGTAGCTGTAAGTGTGATTAACTGTATCCTAAGTCAGAGCCGAACGTAGCCTATAAGTTTCTAATGACAAGACAATTATACATACATAACATTATAATTATAATGCCACTATATGATGTTTAGAATCAATAAAAATACGCTATAGTTATTATTTACTATATGGAATTATAAATTTAGTTCAAAAGATGAAATATTAAACCAACAGACAAACTACATATGTCAATAAATAAATCATAAATTTCACGGTTGTGCATTTTAGAGGTTTAGTACAAAAATGATGGTGCTCCCAGAAAATATTTTAGAACTATGACTATAACAGATAACTTAAATCACATAAATTTGTAAGAAAGTGAAGTCAGCGTCGACGTAAAATCAAAAATTTTATTTATATATACTTTATTGCACACATACACCAAGTAGCAATACATTGGATACTATGACCGAATGTTGTGATTACAATGGGCGGTCTTATCACACAAGGCCCAGAAAACCTTTAAATGGAAATGTATAAAAGAAATTTGGATATGGATAGTGTAGTGTACTGTTAAAACAAGTACTACATAAAGAAGATATGTTAGAAAGATAAAGAAATGTGTATAAATATAGTTATATGACGGGGATCCAAACCCAACAACTAGGCAGTCCCTAAGGAGTAGTTCACCGGCTCCAGCGAAGGTAAAAGACTGTATGCCATGACAGAGGGAACGCTAGGTGCGTAAATTCCAATAGAGAGGTCTGTGCAACGTATGGTCGTGTGTCGCGTATTGCTACTTATGAATATAAACCCTTACTGTGGTTTGAAACTAGTTGAGTCATCTCACCAAACCGATAAATGTGCCGTTAAACATAAATAACTCATAGAATATGTAAAAATAACCAATTTCATAAGTTAAACTCCTACCAAACACACTTCTTTCCCCTGCTTGTCTACAAGAAAATAAAAACATAGTTCCTACTATATGTACTATCATATTCCTTACCAATGATAACGTTGTAATAAAACGACACGTAGAACGCCACCATCACCGCACAGAATCCAACGCCTGCAACAAACATATTTGTTGATTATAAATGTAGAATTTCACCAAGATCCCGTCTGATATATTCGAAAAGGAAATAAAAAACGGAGGGCCAATCCTTCCCCTTCCCCAATCCCTCCTCAATCCCTAAATCTCCAAATCCCTAATCCCTTAAAGGTCGGCAACGCACTCGTAACTCTTCCGTTGCGAGTGTCCATGGGCGGCGCTGATTGCTTACCATCAGGTAATCCGTCTGCTCGTTTGCCGAACTATTACATAAAAAAAGAAGATTTGGAACTGCTATGCTTAGGCCTACTCTTCCCCCCCTCAATTATAACACCAAAAGCAAAAAGATTTCTACCATACCAACTACATATAATTTTCTGTTTATATAGACTAAAATAATATAATTTCATTATTTGCTATATGTATAATGTATTGGCGTATGCTGTTAATCGTAAATAATTATGTAAAGAAATAATGCTTTAGCACGAATGGACCGACTTGACCGTCAGTTACCGTTGTGAGTCACTACAACTGCAAAGAAAACCAGCATTAATCTATGCTTGTGTTATGCATCCTTCTCTGAATGAGGTTACTGGAGGCCTAATCCTCCCGATCTCTAACCGCAAAGAACGGCAACACACGGTTCGTAGTCTCTTTGGTGCAATCGCTTAACATCAGGTGACGCGTCTCCTCGTCTGTCGCCTCATCAAACAAAAAAGACTCAGGACATCTTTGGAACCAAAAAAAATATAAAAACGAATCTAATCAGGAATACTTAATTATATTACTATCACAGTTAACATACAATATTTTAGTTTCAGATTCATATAAAACACTGACATTCATTTATCTCTGATTACAAACTTTCAGGAGTCAAACGAAACTTAAACATTTTCCATACCTTTGAACAATGGGCATATCTTCCATAGAGTTATAGGTCCTTGACGATTGTACTGTCCGAGGATGAGCTCCATGTAGAACAGGGGCACAGCTCCAAACACCAGCATCAGCGTGTAAGGAATCAGGAACGCTCCTAATCATAAAACTCATTGTATTAGATAGATTTTTTATAACACACTCATATAGCATTGTTTACATTTCTATATCTAAAAACTGTAGTACTAAAATTTTGTAACTAATAAAAAAGAAAATATAAAACTTAATGGAATATTGAATTAAGAAAACTGTAACTGCTACGAATAAGTGCTACGCGGCCTACGCCGTAGCACATAAACATGAGATTTCAGTAGCACATATTTTGTTTGTTTACTCACAAATCTGTAATATACCGGCTTGTTTAAAGTAACTGCTTTATGCCAGCTGAAAGCCGTATTCTTCAAAAAAGGTAAGCATAATTTAAATTAGAAAAAGAACACAAGTGTAGAAATGCCATGCTTTGAAACGAATGAGCGACTCGAACAGGCCTTACAATAAACTGACATGAAATAACGCCCGCATTGTGGAGAAGTAAGATCACGCAGGGGCAATCTATCCCTCCCTTCCCCTAAATCAAACTAACAAACCCTAAAACGCATTTAAAACCTCATATACATTGTCCATGAGCGACACCCAATCACATAGAATAGATAAGATAATTTGGTTACTGTTAAACGCAATCTGCTTGTTTATTGCCTTATCCAATAAAAAAGTGTTATTAAAACTATCTTTAGAAATAGTTCAGTTTAAAGTTACAGTATACAACCTAAGACCCGCATTAAACTCAAAAGGTTTCCAACATTAATGTAACGATCGACTAGGGAATTAATTAAATGTGAACGATTTACTTGTATTAATAATTTCATTCCATCTCAGCCAGTGATATTGTGTTCTTAATTAATAAGAAATTCTCAGAAGCGATCGGTGTTTAGCATTAACCAATACGAACGCCTCAAGTACCAATTATATCGATATAATTCGTAATTCTAAAATTTCATTTCGATTTCTGAATTTAAATGACTTAATACCGATTGGACGATTGTTTTCATATTTCGAGATGTCTTCAAACAATGGTGAAACAAAAGAAAATCGTTGATTTTGTGTAGAATCTTTAAGCCCAAACACAATGAAAACAAGGCTCGATAGTAAATGGTTAACTATGTTATGGAAAAGTCGTGCGTTGAAACTAATAACTCATCTCTCTTTTCTTTATGAGATGTAGGACAAGGACAAACAAGAAAACGAATTGTCTTATAGCAAGCAATGGATATTCATAAGCAAAAGAAAGGAGACACCAAAAGAGTTCCAAGTGTTTTCCGACCTTTTTAAGCCTAATCAATGTGCTTTTTATTAAAACTTAACTTCTAATATTGCAATTAAAAAAAATTAAATCGAATACAATACACATACAAATTTCATGTTAATAAACATATTAATAAACATGTACGTCAAATAAAATAGAATATTCTTTACAAAGTACTCATATTACATCGGACTTACCGCCTCCATTTCTGTAGCATAGATAGGGAAAGCGCCAAACATTAGCGAGGTCGACTGCAAAGCCGATGATGGAAAGCAGAAAGTCTGCACCAGTACCCCACGTCTCGCGCCCGTCACCTTCGTCTGATGATTTTTATATGAATATTATTTATTACATATAATATATAGGTAATTGGTATTTCAAGGAATGATTTTAGTACGAAAATATTTGAAAGTAAATTTTTAAGCTGTTTAGCAAGCAATTATTTTTTTATTATTCTCCTCGAGCGAAAACAATTGATAAAGTAATAAACTCAATAATTTAAAAAACTACAATGATTATTTCCAGGAATCAATCACTAAGCAGACTCGCTATTGTTTTGCTCTTCAAAAATGTTAAAAAACGAATGGAGGAAAATTTTCAAATAATTTGAACACAGCTTTTAATTTTCCTTACCCGGTTTGATACTATTCGTTCTGAGTTTTTTCGACGGCTCACTATAAAAACATTCTTCTTCTATTTGTATTTTGGGCTCCTCTGAAAGTGAAAATTAAGTTAATCTACAAGAACAAAACATTCTTAGGTATCTAACTTCTGAAAAGTTGCCCCTCTTTAATTTAAGTTATTTCGTAGAGCTACGAATACCAACACTTACCACTTTAGCTTTATACTGAACCAAACTCTTTTGACACTGTAAACGATTTAAATGTTGAAATTATCATTAATATGCAAAGTGAAATATTGTTTTAATGTGTCAACTTAATATCGCTACGAACTTGCGCTACGCGGCTACGGCGTAGTCCGTGTAGCGGAACTTTTTTTACAACGTAAAAAAGGGTTTACTATATTGAAATCAAAATCGTGGCTCTTTATTTCAATAGTCACATAGTAACTTTCGCACTTTCAGTTTCATTTGGCCTGGTATCAAGTAATAAAAATGTTCACTTTGTAAAATAAAATGCGTAAGTAGTGTATTACACTCACTCTTGTAACACGACAAGGTGACAACCGAGCCTTTCGTTGATTTGTTATCTGAAACAAAAAAAAAAGTATGATCAGGTCTATCTATCTATTATGTAATGTATTAAAAGTTTTTATCAACAACATTGAATCCGAGGTTAGGTCGGTATCTTTAAGAACTAAGTTTTTGTACCTTGAGATCGAAAATTATGCACAAACAGTCGTTAATCCTGTGCTTGAACTCTTGGCATCGTCATTGATGATCGTCCCATTTATTTACAAAGGTGAAAAAATACAGCAAGTGCACTTGTATTAACGGACATGACTTTACCTTGTATCATTGCTAATAGTCTTTTTCAGGTCAAAATTACTATTTATCTAATTGGCAAAAAAATATAAAAATGAGGATCATAACCTGATCAACCGATCATTACAGCAATTATAAACCAATCAAAAATACTTTATATAAAACTTAACTTTAACCTCATCAATATTCAAGCACTTGGTCTTGCATAGAGATGAGGCTATACTGTCCCTCATAGCGTTCATTCTTACACCTACTGCGGGTCTTAATAACTTCGTGGCATGCCGATCGGTATCCCATAATAGCATGCCGACGCGGAAAAATTTACGCAATAATCCCAAGGTACGATTCTATCGGAATTCAAAAACGGTGCGTTAACGTCGGTTGGAAATGAACCGGTATTCTGATATTAAAATGTGTTAGGTGACTGCCTTGACGGTCGAGTGCTTACAGGATTTGCTAGTGCGAGTTTTGTGGGTATTTTATGTTAAATTCTAGGGTTGGGCAAATTGTTTTGTGGGGTGGGCATTGTTCTGTTGATGTATGAAATTTTCAGAAACATCTCTAAGTTAGAGATTGTTGCTCTTTTATTTTCTTTTGACATACAATCCAAATATTTCGGATGGAAAGAGCATGTTGAGTTGAATTGAGCATGAGTTTTTTGTTTGGTTGCTTTGTTACACTTGCTAATATCCCGAACAGCTGGTTAGAAATTAAAAATAATTTTTGTGTTCGACAGTCAATTTATCAAAGAAGGTTGTAGACTAAAAAACATCACACTATGACCAAAATGAGTCGAGCAGTGGGAGTAGCTAGTTTTATATTAAATACACTGCTATAGATTATCGAGGCATAAAAAACATATGTGTAAACAAACAAAATGTGGTATTATTTTCAGTTATTCTGTTTATTGATTTCACTGGTTATGCAGCGCAGTGAAATGCACGAAACATTTTAATTAAAAAGAAATGCGATCGGTTTGTTCACGATTTCAAGGTCGACTCTGTACGACGCGGGCGTGTAATAAATACGTTCCATTGTATACTACGTCAATTCCAATGATACGTATTGAAGTATTTGGATTTAAAATGAAAAATATGATTCAAGTTTTATAGTCCACAACAATTTTTCAAGGATTGGCAGACGCAAAACAATTGTAGAAACAGAGTCATGACAAGGATTCATCATAAAAAAAATATGAAAAATAATTTTAAATATGTAGTATATATTATGTAATACTCGTGAATGTTTTCTTTTTGTCTTATTTTTTTTTTGGGACACGATGCCCTTGATTCGCACCAGCGCTTGTTTTTTCGGGACCCTACGGTTGAATGTTAGAGTGTGTGAACAAGAATAAATATATATAATAAATAAATATATAAAATATCATACCAATCACTTTTTTTACTCAAAGTAATCAGAGGACTACCCAAAACATCTGGCCCAAAAACTTGTTCAGCAGTACACGTTACTGTTGAAAGTAATGACTTATTCACGTGAATTAACTTTATCGCATTGACGACTCTCAAGTGACCCGTGTCAGTAAGTCGTTACTTCAATAAATGATAAATAACTATTAATGATAATGAGACTGCACATAGAGAAAAGGTATTTTTATTACTTTTCTAACTTTCTTATAGATACAAAGTGTCCTTATATACCCATAACTGAAGACCATTAAGTCTGTTAAAGCAATAACACGCATAAAGTTCGCAATAAAGAGAAACCCATCTTTTAATCTACTACTTTGATTAAATCTAGACCCTATTCATATCTCTGTTAGGTTTTAATTTAAACTTTACTTTGACTTAGATGCAGCGCGGTGTATGTAGATGTTCATTTTTTATTAATTTTGTAAGTTAGATTAATATTTGAAATGAAGTTTTAAATTATTTGTCTGTGTATGAATTAATGTGTAGTTTTAATATCTTGCTATATTGGACATAGTAAACTAAAACATTTAGAAATCTGGTTTTTAAGAATGCTATCTTATTAGTATGTAGATGACCTCCTCCGGTTTTTGGCGAGAGGGGTTAACAACCCCTCTTACTGACTAAAAACTCCTTCTCCTGTCCTGACTATATCCGCGATATATTGTGGCGCTTGCCCCGCAACCCCGGCTGAACATCAGCCCTATATGGCCCCGTCTATGGTCGTCTATTGGTTTTATGAGGCGTACGCGGAACTTGTGTCTGATTCTGGTCAGGCGTCGAGCTGCCCTTACTCGCCGTCCTCAGATCCATGCAACCCCGTTGCCCCATTATGAATTGGCTCATTGATGCATTTTAATAAAACTAGAGTTTTAATTTTAAATTATACATTATAATAACCAATCAACGTTGAGCTTGCTCATTATAATGCTTGCATTATTGTTCATTATTTTACATTGATATTTCCAAAAGCTTAAATACCTAGCCACAGCATAATAAGTTGATTTGACTATAATTTAGCTAAGATCAATGTTATTATTCACAATAGTTCTAACTATTAACAGATCAAAAACAATCTTAGAAAATATCCCTTAACGATCATTTTCCTTTAACTTATTATCATATTTCTTCACTAAACTAATTTAAAAAGTGATAGTAGTACATATATTAGTCTTTAGTCTCGGGAGATTTTTGGACGTATTCCGTCTGACTGCATATTTTAATGTGAAATAAAAATCTTAGAAAGTAGGTATATGCCCGGGCCTCGTTTTAGATTAAATAAGAAGAGTTTTGCAAACTATTTGCTCATTAGAATATAGGAAAATTTATAACGTTCGTATAATATCCTTTGACAATGTTTTTGACTTTGACTTTGACTATAGCCAACAATTTATTTTCATGCACTGTATTATTTACTGAAAATTTCTTAAATCATAAAACTCTATTTACAACATTCTTAGCTTCCTGCTTACACTAAAAGACTTCATTACAACAATACCTATTAAAGTAATAAAAATTAATAGACACTTCAAGATGGCCGCTAAATAAAGTTTCCCGCCAACTCAAACAAGAATGGCGGAATAAATAGTGAAGTGGCAATAAGATTCCGTTCAAGTCCAACGGACGCCACCGGAGACTGGACTTAGAGTTTTTAATATATTTCCCCTCCCTAGCTCAGTTGCGGTACTGTGCACAATATTTATTAGACCACAATGACTTTTTAAATTAGTTTAGTGAAGAAATATTGATAATAAGGTAAAGGAAAATTATCGTTAAGGGATATTTTCTAGGATTGTTTATGATCTGTGAAGGTTGTCATTTTTAGTTAGACTATTGTGAATAATAATATTGATCTTAGTTAAATTATAGTCAAATCAACTTATTATGCTTTGAGCATCGAGATATGAGTGAATGATTAATACGCCGCACACAATTCAAATCTCCGTACCATTAACGAAAATGATAGTCTTTCAGACACTTTAGATCAACGATAAGAATGAGCTAATCGAAGTTCGATTCTCAATATTTAATATATTAAAATTCATAAATCTTCAAGTATGTGATCCAATATGAATGTTTCGACCGATAAAGGAGACTAAAAAAAGCAAAAAGGATTAGTTGTTTGCAAAGTTAGTTTACGGACAGCACGAAACAAGCCGAAGCCGATTGCGCGAGCCGATCATGCCTCTCTCTCATTCGTGCTGCGCTCTGACTTGCAGAAAGCGACAATGAGCGCAACGGGACAATGACGTAAATTTTTCCGACCATGCAGCCAATACCAACGTTGTCACGTCACAAATAAAAAAAAAATAGAATCATACCGAATGCTCTAGGCGTGCTGCTGGCTGAGCAGTATCCATCATCTCGCACACTCCTGCCCCCTGGCGTGCCACTCGCCCCACGGCTCAGCAACGCAGGGTTTGCGCGCTGTTCCTCATACGATGGTGCTGTGTGAGTTACTACACCAGTACCGCTAAGCGTGGCCTGTATATAAAGATACATTGGTGTGAAAAAAAAGAAAAACATTACATATTGATAAACAAAATCCTCTAAGGAGTCTTAAGGAGTTCATTATTATATTATCATTCATCACAAACAATAGATTTTAATTGTGATGGAGATGGTAATTTTACCAACTAAACTATTTGACTTATGGAAGTACATCTTTAGGTATACAAAATTTACAATAGCTCTTTATAATATTTTTTTTTAGCTCCGATTTTAACATCGAATGAACCAAACAAATATTTTAACGCTATAATAAGACTATGATTTCTTTGTGAATACATTTTTTTAGTCAAGTATGTTATGGAATGGATACTCGCCATGGTGGGAACTTTATCATGGTGCTCTCGTTCGTAGCTGTTGGGGCGCGTGCGCGACATATCAGACTTGTGTACCGTCGCGTCACATGTCTCATGCTCCTAGTAAACACACAGACAAACAAAATTAATTATTTAATCAACTCCACTCTAATTCATCAATCTCCAAGTGAACGCCGTTCGCGCACCTATTGTTCTTCTATTGTGTCTATAATTGCCACGATTGAAAGGTTAAAATAATCATAATGAAAAGTATCCATCTGTTATTTTTTTTAAGTTTGAGGAGCCAAATCTCGGCGCAAAAGGCTGGCTCGACCGGATAATGACGGACGACGGCCTCATAAAAAACTTAAAACAATCCTACCCTAGGTCCAATTCCTAAATCTCTGACACCCTAATCCCCAAAAGGCAGCCGCGGCGCGCGTGGCGGCGACCGCCTGCCCCGCTATACGACAGTCAGCTGTCAATAGCCCGACGAACGCACGCGCTCGCGCATTTAATGATTTCACTTGTTTGTTCCGTAGACGCGACTACCTTTATTGTGCAAAACTATTTACTTCGAGCAATATATCCTCAGTTTTACAGTCCACTGAGGTTTTATTAGATCGTTCTCCTTCTTCATTGAACCAGTCACATAACGTCTCAACACCAGGTAATCCGGATGCTGGATGGTTGTCCCATCACATTAAAAAAAATATATGGGTTTTCAATTCAATCAGTTGCAGAAGATGAATAATGACCCTAACGTTGTTTTTAGATATTGCCAGAACAGTTGCTAACACTTTACACAAGTAATCATGATTCTAAGATTATTTTAGAATAATGTATAGCTGAACCAATCAATATAGTCTTTGACTTACTAAAAAGGAACCAGAGAAGGTTACCTGTGGCTGGCGCGGGGAGGAGCCGCGACGAGAACCGCTACTCGAAGACCTGTTGCTGGCCTCTGTACAAACAAAACAAATTGTATTAATGTTTATATACATACTATATATACATGTACACGTAATGGAAAGTATAAGTGCAATATCACGTGTTTTAAACTCCAAATAATAGTCAAATATGGCGACAGCTATAATTCTGCTTGCAGCTATATATTTTTTTATGTTTGTCATCCAAGTTATTTGAGGCGCCGATAGACTTCGTAGTATAATTATTGAGAATTTATATTAAAAATCTATTTTAAAACTTTATCTAACCGATAAAATAGAAAAGAACTGAAAATCACAACTGCAGTAATTTTATAATTTTAAACTATCGATTGTTGAAATCGAATCAAATTGACCTTTTTCTTCCTAATCGATTACGAAACATATATTTGCGCAGTTACTAGGTTACATAGATTAGAGACGTGGTGTCACTAGAAACCTGGCAAGTACCAATATGACTTTTTCTGAATTATATGTACTTTTTATGATTATTAAGAAAGCACTGGCATATAACGAAGGAAAATATAGGTGGGAAATTTGTATTAATAATTTCTATTATACATTTCAAAGCACCAATCGGTCTTGAACAAGCGTGGTGATTAATGCTCAATCTTTCAGCGTGTGAGAAGAAGCCTCTATTCAGCAGTAGACACTTATAGGCTGATGATGATGATGATGGTGATGGACTATGTCTATAAACATAGACTAAAGTTTAAGTCTATCATCTTTCACTATCTACCAATCAAATCGACTTATATCGTTGGTTGGATATGCGACACATCAATCGAGAGCTCTCGAGTCGGCCGCAATCTCGAGGAAATAGTGAGGTACGCGTGACATGTAAACACTCGATTATTAATCGAGTAAGCGATGCATGTCTACGAGTTGGGAACTCGAGATCGATCTGTCGTTGAAAGTGGTGAATAAAAATAAATTGAAGTTTGTATGAAATATGTTTTGTATTTTAAAATAAAAGGTCGTGGGATTAACGTATGCATGCTGGCTTTTATTTTTGTTTTTTTAAAAAAGAAATAGTTACATAAAATCTTAAGTAATATATGTAATAACTTGTACTTAGTTTTGCCAGAATATATTTAGACACCACCTGAATCGTAAGTTAATGTAAGTTAATTCTTAAAAGTTTTAAACGTCCTCACCCAAGACCAGCGCGGAACCATCACAGCGTTGCATGATTGCGGTTACCGGAGGCAGAGAGAGGTTAGAGGAGGATTAACCCTTCCCCGCCCTCAATCCCTCCCCGATTTCAAAATCTCCAAATCTCCAAAATGTCGGCAGCGCACTTGTAACTGCTCCGTTTTTGGATATTGGCGGCGCTGATTGCTTACCATCAGGTAATACATCTGCTCGTTTACTTTCCTATCACACAAATACGCGACACCACGCAGCGTAAAACGACGCCGACACTTCGTGTAGTTTTTAAGTTTTTATGTAACATATAGAAGTATACCTACTTCATCGAATATTTAGTTACAAGAACCCAGCTCAATGGCAATCCAACCTTCGTAATCGCAACATCAATAAAAAAGTCGTGTCCAATGTTCAGTAATTTAGTTCCTAAATAAATACTTTCACGTTTGTTTGCAACTCCTGCGTGATGTTCCTATTCGAACATCGATTAGTGTCTAATCGATTAGGACAACAATGTCAATAGACTTATTCCTGGCAGTTGATTTGGGAAGTATTTATTCTAGAAATACGTTGACCGGCAACTGATAGCTTACGGTCGACAAACTGACCACAAATAACAGTTCGGTAGGATTATTGCATTTTTTTTTTCTTTTTGTTAAAACTAATTATTAAAGTCATTAATAACAGCATGATTGATGCAGTTACTGAGCAACTGGCTACAGTGCAACGTGTCCTAGGTTCGGCTTCCTCACGGATGAACTCTCCATGTGATCCACATATTGTTGATCCGGGTCTGGATGTGATATGTACACAAGAGAAAAGTCCAGTATGGAGCAATGTTTTTATAAAAAAGAAGTTCCAGGATTAATTTTTTTTTTTACAAAAGTACAATTACTGAATCCGTGACCATTTGTTCTGCTTCTTCCTTTTATATCATGCATCGTCATTATAACAAAATTAATAGGTAGGGATCATAAATTCAAGACTTTAAACAATTATCACAGACCGATATTGGACCAACTAATATCAAAACTAATAATCTTATTTAATTAATCATTTTTAAATACATTACTTTTTTCATGATTAACTGGCTGACGCCTGAGGCTCGAATCTATCCCATACCACATCTGCAATACATAAAACCTCAAAATCCCAAATCTCTAAACCCCAAAGTCACCAAAGGCAACACACTGGTAACTCTAGTGATGTGAAGGTCCACGTGTGACGCCGTACGCTCGTCAGCCGCCCTATGCGGTGGAAAAATCATCACCAAATGTTTCTACATCATTTTACTTAATACATCATTGATGGTGTGGAAGATCCTTGAAACGATAAACAAGCCTTTTACAACTGCAGTGAACTGCAGCCTCATAAATTCTTATAAATTGAGCCTCATTATTTCTCAACGTCCGTCCATCTTAATTGGAAAACTAAATAAATAAAAAGTCAATGTAATATGAAACTTTTCCTAGTAGATAACTCATAACTCTAAAAAGGAGTAATAATAACTACTTGGCTGCAGTTTTGTAAATAAAGACGTTAAGGTTTCTTTTTTTTTGATGTGACGCAGACGGATTGGATGGTAAGCTATCAATGCCTCCCATGAAAACCCGCAATACCAGTGTATTGCCGGCATTATGGGGATAAAAGGTTTTAGGGATTCAAGGAATGGGGAGGACTAGGATTCGGCCTCCGGTAACCTCAATCACTTATACTGCAACTGAAACATAATGCTGTCTGTGATTGTTTCACGCCGGTTTTCTGTGAGCCCGTGGTATCACTCCGGTCGAGCATCAACATTTATCGTGAGGCATGGGTCTTCCACACCATTAAATGACTATAGAAAATGTTGGCGTACTAACATACTAGCTAATTCCACGCGGTTACACTTGCTGCTCGGCTAGTATTAGTCGTATCGAGATGTTTTTATAGCATTCTTCAATTAATGGATTATCTAACACTTAAAGAATTGTTAAATTCGAACCAGTACACAACCACAACCAGTAAACAGTTTTTCTTGAGATTAGCACGTTGAAAACTTGAGCAAATCCTTCGGTTTTGTTAAGTATATTATATATACTAGTTTTAACTACAGTCTAGCTTTAGTTTCGAATTATATTTTTCATCTTACAAACATTTGCACAATGAACCTTAGCAACAAAAACAATAGGTGTATTTTGTAACAAACCGCGGCTGTTGTCTCGCAGCTCCCCAGCGCCCACGCTGTTACCCAGAACGGGCATGCCCGCCATGCCGCCCGCTACACTACCCGCTCCTCCATGTCATCTGCAAAAAAATACACATGATAAATCATTTATACATCATTCAAGTTAAGTTTAAACTCAATCGACCTTATACACGAAACAAGACTTTTCTTTAGTCTATATCTTAACCATTGAGCCAGTTTTTGTATTTCAAATTGAAAGTAGGTGAGAAGAAGATTCAAAATACAAAACCAGACTTAATGATTTAAAGCTAGACTAGAACTAACTAGACTAGAAGAGAAATCTCGTTTTTTAATAAATATATAATAAACAAATAAAACAATTTAGAAATAAATAAAAGAACGAAAGGGAAATAAACTTGGTACAATTACGGTGTACGGTAACCAAAGGTTCAATTCTATCCCCCTTTAACCTTAATCCTCAAAAACATCACCCCTTAAATGTCTAACCCTGAAAAGTCCGACAACGGACTTGTCTCTCTGGACTTGAGAAAGTAAAGAAAAAGTTTCATAATAACTACAAAAAATTCAAAACACAAAAATACACAATATTAGGTACAATCAAACACGACGGTACACAACACCAGACACAAACTAAACAAAGTAAATAATAATACCTGTTGCATACCTTAACAGTTATTTAGCCGCGACTGAATTACAGTGCCTGAAAACTATTTGCTGAAATATTTTCATATTGTCCAGAGCACCGTGATTAAAATTCATTTAGAGAGATCCAGTCAATTTTCTATTTAAATCTTGATTCTATGGTAAGTTGCAACCGATATAATATTTGTAAGTTTTTTATTTTTATTTACAAGTTAATTATTTAATCAATAATTATTACAATATTCAACTCTATTTGTTCTTCTTTCATGGTATTTCTACTGTTTGGGATTTTGATAAACGATTATAGTCCAGAATAATGCATACTACTTTTATTCTGACAAAACGTACATTTAAGGTCCTGAAATATAAAAACATAGTTGGCTTTCTAAGCAAACACTTGTTACGTTAATTTGCATAAACTTCTAATATTTTTTAATTACGCTCCGTAGCAATGTAGTGTCGTAGCTCGTAGCCGTAGCACGTAGCCTTGTAGCGCTGTGCTACGCAGCTACGATGGTGGCTTACTTATAGTGTAGATATATCTATGTTATTACGGGACGCCTAGTTGAACTTAATTACAACATTCTTTAAGATCTTTATTGAGTATTAACGATAATATTTTTAACAAGCCTCCATTATGAAGATTAAGATTTTTATGTTAATTACACAAAAACCTTTTTATTTCATATAGCTGAAATTGCGACGACGTTGTTATTATTATTTTGCCATTTTCTAGAAAAAAAAAACTGATACAACTCTAGATACACCTTTTGGACTAAAACGTATGCAAGATCACATATCGCAACTATAAATATTCTAAGTACTATAGCCACTCATTATTTCAGAAACGAGGTTTAAACCAAAAAGTTTCACTATATTAAGACCTAAAGCTCAAATCTTAGTTCAAAAAACGCCATAAGAAAGAGAATGTATAGAAGTGAATGTCGTCACTCGTGACTCGGGTTAATTCAATTGAATATGAAGATAAATTTGAACACGTATGACGTGGCAGGGTTGAAGGCCTCGATGACAATTACTGGCTGGCGCAATCTACAGCTATGTGACAACCCTCGCGTACTCTCACTTAGAGAGTAATTAATTATGTTCACACCCTGTCGATTTGTAGGGTTGTCACAAATTGTTATTGTCTTTGTAAACTACAAATTTTCTGAATGAATAAGCAGTCAGATGATTTGTTTTTTTTCTTAATTTCAAAATAGTGTTTTTATCGAGTTATTTCTATATTGTCAATGTATTCTGTACATTTTCAGGAAATAAGTTTGTTATTTGTTTATTACCTTACCTTTTAGTATTTTTGGATGAGTTTAAATTATAGTAGGTAAGTATACATTAAATAATTAGAATTATAAGTTCTTACTTTTGTATTTTGTAAGACTGATGGCTACACTATCGAATTGGATTTTATCTGTAATGATGGTTGTTAGTGATGTAAGTAAAATAAATAAATAAATTTTACTTCTAACAATTATTGTTCTAATGCCCTGCCTCTGTTGATTGCTGCCTGCCTGTCTTCACCATTGAGAGCTGGGGTGACTCCAAGCTGAGATCAATTTAAATCTTCTAGAGATTGAAACATAACTGAGTTAAATTTAGAGTTAGAAAGGTTTGATAGTGTTTGCTTCACCTCACCACTTAATTTTCATGACTGTGACATCAAAAACTGTTTTATTTTTAATAACTACAATTTATCACACTAAACATAATCTTATTAAGGATTGAATAAAGGCGTTCTTCGTGAGAAAGGCGAAATTTTCTTTTGCTTATTTTTTATGACAACGGAAGAATTAGGAGTGCGTTGCCGACTTTTCGGGTATTAGAGTTTTGGGGATTGGGGGAGGGGAAGGCCTCCAGTAACTCACATGGCAAAACACAACACTGTGGTTGTTTCACGGCGGTTTTCTGTTAGGCCGTGGTATCACTTTTTTCGAGCCGACCCATTAGTGCCGAAGGATGGCTGTCCCACGCTTAGCAAGCGACTTGATTTGTTTTTATATGATAGGGCGTGAAACGAGCAGGCGGATTACCTGATGGTAAGCAATCAGCGCCAGCCACGCCCCCATCAACGGAGTTACGAGAATGTTGTTTCCTGAATGCGAATTTAGCCAATAAATCAAATGTCTAGCCTGGTCGTTCGATCCGTTAGATGATCGGCTAACTGAACCAGTTATCTGTGGCGGAATTTTTAATTGTTTTTTAAAACCATAGTTGTATGAGTGCCAGCCCTGGCTCACCTCTGACACTGTGCAGTCAATTAAATAAAATTAAAAACTTGCCTCGCGCGGACTGAGCGACACGCACTCGTATTTATTATACGCGAGTAGTTCCATGATTTCTTTCGTAGTATTTTTAGTTTTTGGTAATACATATTATAGAAAATAGGAAGATGTTTATTGCTACCTAGATTATTGTAAAAATTAGTGAACGCTCGGCATAGGGCGTGGGCTCGATTCTCCCACAGAAAAACGCTTTGTGTTATCCATAGATTCATTTTCCAGGTCTGGATGGCTTGTGTATGTGTATATATGTATGTTTGTTAATGCACACACGACTCTGAAAATAATCATTTTGATGAGCAGTGTTTTTGTTCAAAAAAATAATCTTATCATACTTCTTACTAATATTATAAATGCGAAAGTTACGATGTTTGGACGTTTATTACTCAATCACGCCAAAACGGCTTCACGGATCTGGATAAAATTTAGCACAAGCGTAGAATACACTTTGGAATAGTTTACTTTTTATCAACATACAACGCTGGCGAAGCCGCGAGCGAAAACTGATTATCTTATATTTATTATTTTATTGTTTAATTATCTTTATATAACAAAGGTAAGTATCTTATAAACCAATGTTCTTAATTTGAAAAGCTTTCAGATAACAAAATAGTACAACGAGTACAGTCGATTAAATAAAATACGCATTTTCTACCGATCAAACCAGGTCGATTCCGTGACGGTTTTTTTACAATTGATCCGATATGTCAGTGTATTTTACAACAACGAAACAATAACAATACTGGGCAATTCCTGTTTGCTGCATTCGTTTTGGGATACACACACACATACACACACACGCACACACACGCATGCAAACGTAGAGCAGTGTACAATCTGTCGGGTTGTGTGCATGGCGGTGTCAAATCACTGGCTAACACTCACCGAAACCGACATTTGGGTTGCGTGCCTCAAATAACGTCCGTCACCGCAGACACGAATATTTTGCAAGGAATCTGACCGGGAAGTGATTTACTTTACGACGAGGTAATTTGTAAACATACTGACTGGATCAATTTCTTATTACTATTGTATAGCACCCAATTGCTATCGAGTTGGTCCAGAGATTAAGGCAGACGCGACGGACACTTGAAAAGTGACCAATGTGACTTTTCCGATTTACAAGTATGTACTTTGTAAGATTATTTGGGTACCACTCCGTTAAAAAAAACATGGACTTATAATATCTAATTATAGAGTCTTCAGCCTATAAGGACTCACTGCTAAACAATGGCCTCTTTTTACCTGAAGACAAGTTAAACACTGCTCATCAGTCTTATCACTCTTGCTTAAGGTAGACTAGCGATTTCATACTTATAATTATAAAAAATAAGATTATTTTTCAAGATGTTTTCCTTTACCACTTAAATGAGACACATACACATAATAGGTTCAATATCCCACATACATATAGTCCGAATGGCCCGCCCGCCATTTTACGAGAGATCTGTGAAGGTTTATATCTACAACAGATGGTATTTGATGGCAAATAAAAATTATATGTTACCTATAGATTAATTTTGGGTCTTTATGTTTTGAGCATCTTTTGACTGCACGGTTAGTGCGGTGGCTGGGCAACTGGCTGCCGTGCAACGCGTCGCGGGTTCGATTCCCGCACGGAACAACTCTTTGTGTGATCCACAAATTGTTGTTCCGGGTCTGGGTGTTATGTGTATGTGAAATTGTATGTTTGTAACCGCACCCACGACAGAGGAGAAAATCCTAAAGTGGGGCAACGTTTTTTTAAAAATGATGAATGAAATGAATGATTACTCAGTTAGCTCACTTGAGAAAGTATTTTCAGTGATATTTTTTTATGATAGGGTCGACAAACAAGCATACGCGTTTCTTGATGGTAAGCAATCAGCGCCGCCCATGGACACCCAACGCTACAACAGAGAAGTTACACAAGTAACGAGTGTGTTGCCAACCTTTTGGGGGTAAGGGAATTGAAGATTTAGTGTTTGGGGAAGGGAAAGGATTGGGCCTCCGATACCCTAAATTATACGAGGCTGTGGATATGATATATACTAAGATAAAGAAGATATATCTCATGATAGTTGTTACACAAAAATGTTATTCGTGTGTTATTTCAGACTATAATCTATATAAGTACCATCCAAAGCAT